TGGGCACTTCAGTAGTGCTTCTGCCTCTGGACATTTGCACGTGCTCCTCCTCCCACTATCTCCTTGGCCGTCCCTCTCACTTCTTTCAAGTCTGCAGTCAAATGTCGCCATTGTAGTGAGACTTTCTCAGATCAAACTATGTAAAATCTATTCCCAAACCACAATTCATACTCCTGCTTCTCACTAACTTGTTCTCTTTGTCTGGAGTCCTTGTTCCTGTCATTCTTATTGATCTTATCTGTCTACCTTGGCACCTGGTAGGCTCTGCCCCTGCCTCTGCCTCTGCACACGTTCAGCCTCCCACCCCCCCAGGGCTGCCCTCAGCTGCCATTGCTCATCCTTCCTCTCTTGTGTCCCTTCCTAGCCACCATCAGATGCCTGCCTCGGCTCCCCTCTGGTGTGGCTGGTTGCCTGGTTCTCTGTGGGGTCCTGGGGCCTAGAACATGCCAGCCACAGTCTGTGGCACTGAGATGGGGGTTCACCGAGGCATGGCTGAGCCCTGGCAAGCAGCAGACAGGAAGGGGCTGCGGGGGTGAAGGGTGCTCATGGCCGCGGGGAGGACAGGAAGGTTCTCCTGCGGGAAAATCTACAGGAAGTGTGCAGGCAGGCAGCTTCCGTCTATTCCGAGGCCTTCAGTAGGGGGCAGAAGTTGCGGGTGGCGGCCAAACGCAGCCTGCAGAGGTGTGCGGCCGCCCACGCGGAGCTTAAAATAAGCCGAGATTGGTCGCCAACACAGAAACACCAGGAGTGTCCTGTTTCTCTTGCAAAACCACAGCCCTGCAGGCCCCGGGCTCCCACAGCTGTCCACCTGCGCAGGGGTGTGTCCTGCCCCTCCGATGGCGTCCTTCGGCCTTGCCTCTTGGTGCTTGGACACATGTTTTGTGGCCTCCGGGCTGGCGAGCAAGGGCACCCCTGCTTCCTCCAGACCCACCTGGGAAAGTACAGGGGCTGGGGCCAGCAGGGGGTGGTTCTGGACGGGCGTGGGGAGGTGAGGCTCAGGGATGCCACCCTGGGCAGGGAGGGTCACCAGGGGGGCTGCAGCCTGGGGGCGGGTGCATGCTGGGCCAGAGGGTCCAGGCCTGGGAAGGAAAAGGAACCTGGAGAGATGGCCACAGGAGTGCAGCCTCGGGAAGGACGGCTCCCCCAGTAAGGTGGCCAGGTGTCGGGGTCTGGGTTGTGCCCCCCAAAACGATGCGCTGACCTCCTAGGCCGCGGGACCTCACAAGGAAACTTATTTGGAAATAGGGTCTCTGTAGCCCAGTCGTTGAGATGAGGTCACACTGGAGAAGGGTGGGCCCCTAGCACAGGGACACACGGAGAGAGGACACTGATGACAGAAGCAGACTCCAGTGATGAGCCACAAGCCAACGGTCCCCAAGGAAAACCAGACACCAGAGTCTAGAAGACACGAGGAAGGACCCCCCCCACCGCATGTCTCCAGGCCCGGGAGGATGCATTTGTGGTGCTGGTTTAAGCCCCAGGGTAGCAGTGTGGTAATGACAGGGAGCAGTACTTCTCCCCCATGGTCAGACCCAGAGGTGGGCGGCTAAGTCTGTGGTGAAGGTATTTCTATGAGGGAGGCAGTAATCTGCAGGAGGCCAGCCTCACCAACTTAGTGAGACCCTGTCTCAAAATAGAAAATAAAGGGCTGGGGTGTAGTCCAGTGGGAGAGTGGCCCTGGGCTCAATTCCTGGTACCAAGAAGAAAAAAAAATTGTTTATATTTAGGAGTGGGAAAAAAAAATTGTTTATATTCAGGAGTGGGAAGAAGGGCCCTGTTGGGTATTGCTTGTTTGTTTGTTTTTAAATATGGGGGCATGAAGGCTTTTTGACCTCTGTGTTTAATTTTGCCTTTGGCAGAGGCCATGCGATCTGGGATCCCACAGGGCCAGGGATCTGTTTCCCACCCCTGAGGGTGCACATGACCACCTCACTTTGTTTAGCACTTCCTGTCTTCTGTGTTATTTGCTCAGGTTTGTTTGCGCTGTGGAATGAATGCACAAAGGTTTCTTTGTTTTGTGGTTAACAGGGTGAGAACCAGATAACACTGAGGCTGAGGGCTGTGTGGAAGAGCTGGGGTTGGAATGATGCTTCTGGGGTCAGAGTTGTTTTATTGCATTTGTTAGCTCTCTGCGGAGATGCAAAGGAGAACTGCTGTTTGCTCTGCTGGCCCTGCCTGCACCTGTCACCTGGGGAGGAGGTGCAGAAGGGACCTGTGTAGGCCCCTTTCCCAGGACTCCAGAAGCGCAGGGCACTGGACAAGCCTGCTGCCTCACAGTGGCTCCTCACTGCCTGCAGCAGACCTTCGTTGTGGGCCTGGGAACAGATCCTGAGAAGAAGGATGCTTCCTCCTCCTCCTCTGTGGACCCAGAGCAGGAGACCCGGGCCCCAGAAGACCACATCCTAGTCCCCCCGCCCCAAGCCGGGATGTGATCCTGGGCCATCTGGATGGGGGCAGTTGTTCACAAGGGTCCTTCAGTGATGGAGGTGGAGGCGGGAGGCGGACAGAATGAGATGTGAAGATGGAAGCAGGGGTCAGTGTCGCGATTGCTGAACTGGAAGAGGGAGGACTGGCCAAGCCAAGGACTGCAGGCAGCCCCCAAAGCTGGAGAAGGCACCAAGCCGCCTGCACCCTCCAGGTGGAGCCCAGGCCCACTCATACCTGGCTCATGACTCCCTTTCACAGCTCAGACCTGAGAATCTAAGGTCAGCGATCTGCTGTTCCAAGCCAAGTGTAGTTTTGTTACAGCTGCAACAGGAGACTAATACATCATTCTCCCACCTCCCCCAGGTGCCCTAGGCTTTCTTCTTTTAGTACTGGGTTTGGACCCAGGGGAGCTCCGCCACTGAGTTGCATTCCCAGCTCTTTTTATTTTTTCATTTTGAGACAGGGTCTTGATCAGTTGCCCAGGCTGGCCTTGGACTTGTGATCCTCCTGCCTCAGCCTCCCAACTCACTGGGATCACACTGCCATGCCCAGCCGCCCTAGGTTTTTGAGGCAGGTTGATGGCACAACTGGGTCTGTGTCTTCCCAGTCCTCTTCTAAGGACCCTGAGACCCCCATTTCATAGGTGCTGTATTTGCTGTAAGTACCCCCCACCGTGTGCCAGCAAAGTCTGCTCAGCTGTGAGCATTGGGGGCTTTCGGCAGCTGGTAGAGATCTGTGATCTTATTAATTATGCTTAGGTTACTACACCTGCAGTCTCAAAAAAAAAAAAAAAAAGTCAAGTGTTGAGGGAAACCAATTCATTAAGCTGGTTCTTGGCTTTTTCAAGGTCAGTCACCACTTGGATTCTAGCCTCAAAAAATACATTTCAAAATCTGCACACAGAACCAACTGGACATGACTTTCCTGGGTTCCTATATGAGGACACCACGAGTGTACCTCCGTATCATGTATAACCACAAGAACCGGGAGTTGTACTCCATGTGTGCATAATATGTCAAATACACTCTACTGTCATGTATGTCTACAAAGAACAAATAAAATGAAAGAATCTTCACATTAAAAATCTGCATGCAATTTTGGAGATTATATAGACTCTCCCAAAGCTGTCCCTGAAGCTCCTGTGGCTGCTGGGAACTTCCTGTCACCAGGTGAAGAGCCCTGGTGTTCTGGTAGCTCTCTGGAGGTGAATGGCTGCTTCCTTAGCAAGGCTCCCAACGTCTTTGCAGAGCCCTGGAACCCTGTTCAGGGGACCCTCGTTACTTGCACATCCCATATTTGTAAACTCACATGCTCTCAAAAACTTGTTCGTAACCCCAAGATCAAGACTCGTGGGGTTTGTGTGGTCGTGTGGACGTGAGCATGGTGACAGTTTGGGGCACCTGATACACATGTTCCTGGCAGAGGTGGAGCATGTCCTGTCTCATGCTGTGAGCAAGTGCCCTTTTTGAGACTCAGTCAGTGCCACCTCTTGTACGTGTTTTATGTTTTTGTTGGTGATTTCACCGTTTAGTATTTCTAAGTGCCAAGGGGCTGGAATATGCCCTACTGAGAAGACACTTTTTTGTTGTTTTTGATTGAACTCAGGGGCACTTGACCACTGAGCCACATCCCCAGCCCTATTTTGAATTTTTTATTTAGAGACAGGGTCTCACTGGGTTGTGCAAAACCTAATTTTTGCTGAGGCTGGCTTTGAACCTGTGATCTTCCTGCCTTAGCCTCCCGAGCTACTGGGATTACTACTTTCTGTCTCTATAAATTTGCTTGTTCTGGACATTTCATATAAACGGAATATTTAGAGGTCATTATGCCTGGCTTCTTTCACGTAGTGCAAGCTCTTCAGGATTCGTGTGTGTTGATATTTTGTTTGATGCACGTAAGGTCTGTTCTGAGAAGTGGTCCTCAGGCCCCTACCGTTGGCATGAAGTCGAGTCTGTGGCATCCTGTGAAGGTCAGCACTCCCTGCTTCTAAGGGGCTTCCCTTGTCATTTTCTTTCCTCTTCTGCCTTCCAACTTGGCTGTGCCTTTGCGTGGGCACTGACAGTGCCAACCACCTGCGGGAAAGGCCACAGCTGGCTGCGACTCACTGGCCCCCATCCTGGGCCATCCTGGGGTGCCCAAGCTCCTCTGCTCAGACAGCTCTGGGAGGAGGCAGTGCCCTCGGGGAGTTCCAGGATGAGGCCCCCATGCTGGCACTCAGGAAGGAAAGACCTCAGGAGCAGTCCCAGTGTCTCACTCATTACTGAGAGGACACAGTGGAGGTGGGGTGGGGTGGGGTGGCAGGCCAGGCGCAGGGCACCTGCTCCCAGCTGCAAGCCACTGGCCCCCGGGGTTCATCCCACCTCCCCAGCCCCCAGAAAGCTGCCAGCGCCTCCAGAGAACCAGCCTTTCCTGGGAAAGTGTCCGTCCTGGCCGCTCAGCGGCGGCTGGGGGCCCAGCCATTGTCTGCCTGCTCCTTCTCGCGTGGGTGGGAGCAGATTGGCAGGCACAGTGTGAATGAAGGGGCGTGAGCAGGAGCTGCGCGCTGATGTCTGCTCTCCTGTGCTTCCCCCCAGCTCCGGAGGAGAAGGAAGTCATTAAAGGACAGTATGGCAAGCTCACGGACGCGTACGGCTGCCTGGGGGAGCTCAGGGTGAAATCTGGTGAGTGTCCCCTGGCCACAGCACCGTCGGGCCTCCACGCGGGGGCACGGTGGCTCTTGCCTTCTTGGGGAGGCAGCGGGGTGGGGCATTCAGTTTGATCACTCAAGGTGACAGCAGCCCCGTTGGTACCTGCCTGGGCGGAGGATGGGGCGCCCAGCCCTGGTACCAGGAAGGTGCCCCTCCACTGTTCTCCCCAGGACCTAAGTTTTCCCCAAAGGTGGCCGGGGCTGGTGCTGCAGGGGTCATTGGTCTGCCTCTGGCTGGGCCCAGGTGGGTGGACGAGGACCGGCGAGCAGGCAGATGCCCGAGACTCTGCATGGTGGCCGGGCTCCCTGGGTGTATGGAGGCAGGAGGGGCTGGACTGGGGGTTGGTGGCCGGGAGAGAGGAGACGCTGAGACCTGCAGCCCAAGGCCGAGAGTGGGAGTGGTTGTGGGGAGAGGAAAGGAGACTGCACTTGAACATGGCAGCTTGGCCTGGCCAGAGGGAGGAGAGCTGGTGGGCGGCAGTGGGCACCCTTGCTTGGGTGAGACTCAGGGCTGAGCCCTTCTGTGTCTCCTGCAGCCTGCGGCCTGGGGCCCCTGGGAGTCTGCAGCCCCCCTTTCCTTCCTCCTCCCTCTGGCCCATGCACTTTGTGTCCTTCCCACCCTGGGTCATCAGCGACCCGGCCGTGGACATTCCAGCAGCCTCTGGGCCAAGCCTCCTACTTGGCAGAAATGAGAATGGCCATGGCTTGTCCAGCCTCGGGCCTCGGCTGTTTTGGAACCGGTATGTGAAACTTGTCTGCAGCACGCACAGCCTCTGTCGTTAGAGACCCAGGGCTTCTAAAGCTGAAAACAGGGTGCCTGTGCCCGCCCCCCTTTTTTGGCTCCTTCCTGCCGTGGGGTGTTCCTCTCTGCGCTGTGAGGATCACATCGTCATTTTCAAATAGGAGCCCCCGAGGAAGCAGTCAGGAGTCACGTGACAAACTGCACTTGGTAAGGGCTGCTTTGTGCCAGGGGTCAGCCACGGTTCACCCAGGCAGTCCTGAAGATAAGCCGGTGTGAGGACGTGTCTCTGTCCCCGTGGACAGGGAAGGAAACAGGCGCAGAAGGTTGAGCCACCTACCTAGAGGGAGCAGCTCGCTGGGCTGCAGCCCCCTCCAGCTGCCTCCAGCCTTCTGCATGAGAGCCCGCAGCCTCCGAGGGCTCGGGCGGGTGTTTCTCTCTGCAGTGACGAGGCCCTTGCCCTCCACAGTGGTGCTGGGGGACTACAGACCCTGACGGGTGCTTTCCTGCCCTGGGCCGAGGAGGCCGGCCTGGTTACCCTCCCACTCTGCACATGCAGAAAGGGAAGCTCTGGAAACCTGTCCTTATCTAGTCAAGACACCTTTCTTCTCAGGGTCACTTCTGGGTGCCCCGGATAGCTCACCGTCATCTGGCAGTTGGCACCCCCCTTTTTTTTTCCATGAATGATTCCTTTTGCATCTGACTTGGACTTGCACTCAGGGAAGTGGGGTGACTGGCTCAAGTTCACACCAAGTTTAAAACCCCTGGCCTGGGTTTTAAACTCCGGCCTTGTGGCACCAGGGGTGTCCCCACCACCAAGCTATCTGCATTTCTGGAAGGAATGGTGGCAGGACATCCAGGGAGGACAGGAAGCATAGAGCCTTTCCCTCCAGGGAATGGCCAGTTTTCCTTCCCTGTGGTCTAGGTCCACTGTCAGGAATTGGTCCAAAGGAGAAGGGTGGCAGCTCCAGTCCCAAAAAAATCCCCTCAGAGCCAGCCAGGGCGTCTGTGGGTCCCCAGGGGCTGCCGCAGGGACTTCTGCGGTGTGGAGTGTAGAGGGAGGTGACGGACTCCCAGCTGCCGGCCAGGCCCTTGTCTCTTCCCCAGCTGGTGTCCCCAGGAGTGAGTGGACACAGCCTGTAGGCGAGCCAGGGCGGATCAGCCCAGCTGCGCATGCCCACCTGGGTGAAGCCATCAGATCCCAGCCCCATTTCTTTGTCTGAGACACGGCCCCCATTGTGGCCAGGCTGGCCTTGCGCTCCCCCCAGGCACTCCCCGCCCCATCTCCGAGTCCCCAGGCCACCGGCTGCCAGCCCTGAGCCCCGCCCCGTGCTCGGCTCCTCCAGCTGCCTGTGAGTGGTGAAGACGAGAGGCTGTGGGAAGGCCAGGATCCTTTGGCCCGCTTTCTGCACACTGCAGAGTGTTCTTGGGACCCCTGAGAAGCCCCCTGCACCGTGAAGGCTGGAGGGAACCCGCTGTGGCTGGACTGGGGTCTGGCTTGGCCTTGATGTTCCCTTCACCCATGGAGTGCGTAGGGCCTCATGGAGTGAAAGTCCAACTTTTGGTGACCACCGAGATGACATCAGGTGGGGCTTCCCTGTGGACCCTGAGGCTGAGGTCTTCTGAACAAAAGAAAGAGGCTTCCTCCCTGAAATGCCAGCAAAAAAGAGCTGTCTCATGATTAGCCAGGGTGTTAGGCTACCGGATATATAGACTGCAAAGCATAGAAATTAAGTACAGCAGAATGAAGAATTTATCCCAGCGATTTTAGGGATTTAATTCCTCTTTAACCCAAGCCCTCAAGATCTTCCTATTTCACAGTTCAAGGGGCTCTGTTCAAATCCCAGTCTGTAATGAATTGTGTCTCCTGGACTGTGCAGTGCACGACCTGTGAATCTGTACATAACAGCCCTATGAATTCTCCACCAGACAGCCCTCCTGCCTTCCAGGTCCAACTTTACAGCTGGCTTTCTGCATTCATTTAATTTCCCCAGGGCTGTTTCCCCATCTGTAAAACCAGGGAGACTCCTCTCTATCCGACACAGTTCTTAAGAGCTCTTCATGAGGGGATGAACATGGAAGTCTTGAAAACTTTGGGATGTTCTTTAAACATTAAGGCTGGCCATAGAAGTCTGTGAAGGGGCCTGGGACAGTGGCTGTCCTGAGGCTGATGGGAGAAGCCTGTGTCCCCCCTGCGTCCTGGAAAGCTCTGCTGTTTCCTTCCTCGGTCTCTAGGAGGTCTGGAGGGGAGGACTCCTTGGGTTGTCACCTGTAGGCTGCTGACAACTGATTTCCAAGTCTAGTCACTTCAGACTGAAGCTTCTCAGGAGAGGGAAGTTTGGGCCTTTGGTCTTTTGAGATTCGGGTTTTGCAGCGTTCTGAAATGGACGGCCTTTGTGACTTAGAATGATTTATTTCAGTATTACGTCCATGGCAGGGGAGCACTCTGGGGGGCAGGGTTTGCCAACCTCCGTGGTGACTGCGCTGGCCATGGCCGACTTCAGGCTCCCCCCATAGAGGTGGAAACACGAGCCACTGGCCAGGGGACGCGGCTCCTGCAAAGTGCTGTGGGTGCCCCTTTGCACTCCTCAGAGGCAAGGGGGGAGGGGCTGGAGACCTTAGGACCCTGAGCCGTTAGATCAGCGCAGCTCAGGCCCCATCTGGGCGAAGGTCCTCGCTGCACTGGTGGAGAGAGCCTGGACGTCCAAGTCCTCAGAGGCCCCAGTGTGTGTGGCCTGGGGAGGCAGAGAACAGGGGAGGGGTTGGTATGGATGTGGCCAGGGAACTCAGTCTGGGCCTGCGTGAGGAAGGCCACCAAGGGGGACCAGGAGGCTAGGGCTGTCCAGATAGCAGGACATATGTCTGCACAGGCCCCATCTTTATCCCGTGGTCTGGTGACAGGTGGCCACCAGTGGTTGACACGTTGACACACAGACCCTGGTACTGCAGGGTCTGGGAAATTGGCCAGTTTCGAACTTAGAGCTGGTTTTGAAAGCAGTCCTGTTGGGGGAGGGCGTCTCTAAGCTGATGTTGTGGTTTCGGGGTTTTTTGGTACTGGGGATTAAACCCAGGGTGCTTCACCACTGAGCTACATCCATAGTCCTTTTTATTTGGAGGCTGGCCTTGAACTTGAGATCCTCCTCGCTCAGCCGCGGGATGACTGGCGGGCACCAGGGCCCCCAGCTGGGTTATTTTAAGCTCTTATTGTGGGAACACCTATGTGACGTGCAGCTTGCCGCCCATCATGCAGGTTGCAGTTGGGTGGCCCTGGCACGCGCCCTGCTGTGCTGCGGCCACCCCGTCTCTCCAGGACTCGTGGTGTCTTCCCACCAGATCCTTTGCCCCCACAAGTGACATGGAGAGGTCGTTGCCCCCACCCCTCCAGCTCTGCTGCTGCAGGCCGTAGGCACACACGAGCTTCTGCCCTCCTGTGGGCGGATGTCCCCGTCCCTTTCTGGCCCGTTGCCCACTCTCATCTTTCCCTCACCTCACGCTGGCTCCTGTGTGGTCTTTCTTTGGCCCAAGCCAAGGGACTGGAGTGTTCAGCCTGGAAGGGACCCGGAGGCCACCTGGTGCACCCTTCCTGAGGCCCGGACAGGGCAGGAGACTGGCCCCACAGGGCCCTGGAGGGGCAGAGCCCAGAGTTTGAGTCCTCCCTTGCTACAAGATCCTTGCTGCTGTAAGCCACTGTCTCAGCCTCCGCTGACACTTCCGCGACCTCCTCAGGCTTAGTGTGCTTCTGGGTTGTCAGAAAATTGACCCTGTCTCACAAAAGCACCGCCCAGATCCTGGGCCAGGGTGACCCTGAGGAGGGGCCTCACACCAGAGGCGGGTCAATCCCACAGGTCTTGCTGGCCTCCAGGGACACCTCTGTGGGGGTCACTGGCCAATGCTGCACGGACAGGTGGGAGGGGCATTGCCTCCCATCTGTGCTGGGCTTGAGCCCAGACATTTCCTTAAAATCTGTGATACATGGAGCACAGACAAGGGCTGTCAAACAAGATTGGGAAGGACAGCTGGGCGCAGTGGCACATGCCACTGTCATCCCAGTGGCTTGGGAGTCGGAGGCAGGAAGATCGTGAGTTCACAGCCAGCCTCAGCAACTTAGCAAGGCCCTAAGCAACTTAGCAAGACCCTGTCTTCAAATAAGGAATAAAAAGGGCTGGGGATGTGGCTCAGGGGTTAAGCGGCCCTGGGTTCAAAATATAATAAATATATATATATATATATATATAGGGAGGGACAGAGTGGAAGACAGAGGAAGCCACGTGTGCCGGGTGGAGCCTCCTGGAAGGGAGGGAGCCTTCTGGAGAGGCCCAGAGGCCCAGGTCTGGGTCCCTGCGCAGCCACACACACCGTCCAAGGTGCGCAGACACAGGGACTCTGAGCAAGACAATTCCCAGATCCTTGACTCTTCCCTGTAACTGCTTTGTGCAAGAATGTGCCCACGCGGAGGGCAGGTCTCATGTCCTCACTGCCTGCACGCCCCCACAATCATCTTTCCTTCATGGTAGGGGGAAAGGCACCTTCCTGGGTGCTGGCCCAGAGGGACGAACTCTGGGATGCCACACAGAAGTGGAGAACTTCACTGTCAGCAGTGTTGAGGTAAAGCTTGACTTGCAAGTCGGGGGATGGCCACGGGACGGCTCCCCACAGCAGTGAAGGAGGACTTGGGGGCTGTGGCTGACAGCTGACAGCAGTGGTGGTCATTTTGTGATAGGACCCTGTCATGTTGTTTTTTAGTCCTGACTTAGGAGGACTCTGAATTGAGTGGCACTTCTATAATGAGGTTCTTTCTGTTCCCATCTATGAACACAAACAAATGTGCATCATGCTTACAGCTCCAAAGAGAAAAGCAGAATTAGAAGTGGTGCAGAATCTGCTTTCGTTGCATTAAGAAATAATGTGTGCCCGTGGCATTGAGATGCCTTCCTAACACGGTTTTACTTTTTTGTTACATAATTATTTGACCAAATGTTTTATTGACTCTGTACTGTTTACGTTGTTGAACCAGTTGGGCACTAAACGTAACCCCAATGATGAGCCAGAAAACGCTCTTCCAAACACTGAGTGTGGGAACAGAATCCTGCATGGTGCGATGGTGTGACCCACGGAAACACAGAAGCACAAAAAAGAAATAAAACAGAGAAGCGCAGCTGTGCTGTGGTAGGCTGAAACTCCACGGGGCGGGATGGAAATGTGGCTCGAAATTCCACCTGTTCAGGAAGAGCTTGTCCGCGTGTTCCTTAAATAATAGATGGCGACAGGTATCCAGTCTCTGGATTCCACGGGACACTGCTCAAGAGGGCCGTGGGGCTTTCGTCATTGTCCCTGTCAATATGCAGACTACACTGGGATCTCCATGCTAAACAGAAGGTGACTTGTGCTGTCAGCTTGTTCACTGGTCAGGCCTCCAGGGCCAAGGTCCCTAGAGGGAGCCGAGCTGTGGAGGCTCAAGCCCAGGGTCAAGGTGTGGAGTCTGTGGTGAGGAGCTGGTTCAAGATGGCGCCATTTCGGTGTCATCAGGTGGGTGGGGCCAGGGAGCTCCTTGGAGCTCCTCAATGAGGGCACTGACCCTTGTGGAGGACTCTGCTGCTGTGACGTCTCCCAGAGGTGTCACGGCCTCATCCCACCACCTTGTATTTCAGTATGGGGACATCAGGGTGACACAGGCAGTTTACAGGGGGCCCGCTGGTGGCCACACTTTCTCCAAGAGTATAGCCACAGATACCACTGGACTCCAGGGCCAGACAGCACCTGGGTCTAAGCTGACCATACCTTTGCATCTAGGTTCCTATCTAGACCAGTGTATTGGGGCTGCATTCCAGCAGCTCTGGGGACAGTCACTCGTGTGTGAAATGGTGATGGTGGCCCTGAAAGAGCATTGGGAGGAAGATTGGTGCTGATACCTGCAGAGAGGGAAGGGACTCCGCTCTGGAGCCAGGCTGGGCTGGAGCAACTTGCCCCGGAGGTGCAGCCAGAAAGTGGTTTGGAACCCTGTCACGTGGATAGGTCACTTAACTTCCCTGTGTCTCCATTTCCCTCTCTGTGATGATGTACCCCTGCTGGGTTGTCGAGAGATCAAGTCAATGTGCAGGAAGAACTAGTGCTTGGTGCTTGGTGCTTGTTGGTGCTGTCCTAAGTATTAACTGTTCACCAGCGGTGGCTCTCACCCACCTGTTCCCCTCGAGCCCCTCACCCAGGACTCAGGAGCCGAATTCTCTGGTGGCATTCTTCTTAAGAGCCCCCCCGAGCCTCCCCCAGGCCACCGGCCTGCCAGGAGCTGCTGGCTGCCTCCGCAACAGCCTGGGACTCGTGCCAGGGACTCAGCCCCCACGCAGAGGCTGCCGAGGGCGTGGGCTAGAAATCCACTTCCTGTCTCGGAGGGTGGGATGGAAGGCAGAATTTTCCATGCCTCTTCCTGAGCCACTCCTCAGCTAGACCACAGAGGCTTCCTTGGCCAGGTCAGGAGACTCTGCAGCCGAGTTGTGGGACTGCGTCTTTAGGGCTGATACCTGAGGATGTCAGTCCCACCTAAACGCCCCCTGTCCTGTTGAGACACACCGACACTCACAGCACCCCACACCCGCCCGTCACTGTCCACAGAATAACGTCCCCGGTGCTCTGGATGTTCCTCAGTGGATTGCTGGTGGTGGGAGTGGGAGCAGTCAGAGGGGCCGGTGACCTGCCTGTGGGTGTCCCTACCCCTGTGGTGCACCAGGACCTGCTCACCAGGGAACACTGTTGGGGCCAGCATGGTTCCCATGCCGTGAGCTGCAGACATCAGGGTCCATCTTCTAGACAGTGGCCACTAGCCATGGGGAAGAGGTCTTGCTGGTAGGGATTCCTGAGAGCTCAGGGGGGTGGGAAGGGTCCTCTGGGCCAAAGGTTGTCTCCTGGGCTCTGTCCTTTGATGGGGGCAGTGTTCCACTGTCCCTGGGGCACAGCATTGCCACCCATCCCCGATTTGCACAGGATGTAGGGAAGCAGCTGAGGGGTGAGGGCATAGAACAGTGGCTGGCCCCGAGAGGGCGCGTGGTGTGGGAGGCAGGGCAGGAACCTCTTAGGAGTGTTCGCCAGGCACCTGTGTGCTGGGAGTCACCAGTGCCACAGAGCCCTACCCAGAGGAACCCCTCGGCTGAGAGACTCGGGCGGGACCAGGCCATCAGCTCTGTGTGCCTAGTGCTGACAGGGAGCTGCTGGCCTATGGAGGGACCCTACCCTGTCTTGGGGGGCCCAGTGGACTTCCTGGAGACGGAGGAGGAGTCGGCCTGGTGGGGGCAGGGGGCAGAAGCACGTGGGAGGCCTGTGCTGAGATTGAGCCCTGCTGGGGGGCAGAGGAGCTGGGAGCTGAGGGGGAGGGCGGTCTTGCTGGGTGGGCGGCCGTGGGACGTCTGGGCAAAGCACAGGGTGGATCAGGTGTGCACGTTTGAGAGCAGCAGGCCTGGGTGTGTCCACCCACCTGTGGGGCAGGGCAGGAGGGGGCAGGGGCAGAACAAGAGCACCTCAGGAAGGGCTTCCACGTCAGTCCTGGCGGACAGTGGGAGCCATGGGGGGGCTCGTGTCTGCCATCGGACAGGGCTGAGACAGCTGCGTGGGACTGACAGGCTAGGTCCAAGTCGAGGCAGTGGCCAGGGGTGTGGGGAGGAGCTTGGAGGGCTGCAGGTCAGACATGGCGGAGGACTGGGGTCTGGAAGGCTGTAAGTACAGAACCACCCGGAGGGTCTGTTCAAGCAGGGCCTCCACGTCTCCAAGGCGCTCACTGCCAGGTTCACTGTGCTGCTGGGCAGGGATGCGCAGGCTTGGGGACAGCTCTAGGAGCGCCCTGGGACGGACGGTGAGTACTCGATGAGCCCTTCAGCTCTCCTGCCTGACTTCCCTTCCAGGTGGCGCTTCCCTGAGCTTCCTGGTGTTGGTGACAGGCTGCACGTCGGTGGGCAGAATTCCAGATGCAGAAATCTTCAAAATCACGGCCACGGATTTTTACCCTCTCCAGGAGGAGGCCAAGGAGGAGGACCGGCTGCTGGCCTTGAGGAAGATCCTCAGCTCGGGCGTGTTCTACTTCGCCTGGCCCAACGACGGCTCCCGCTTTGACCTGACTGTGCGGGCACAGAAGCAGGGTGACGACAGTTCTGAGTGGGGGAGCTCCTTCTTCTGGTGAGGGGACTCTGCCTGGCACCTGAGTCCTTGAGCCCACCTTGCACCAGCCCCAGGATTTTGGGGTCACTTCTGGAGGCTGAGGGTTGAGATCCATGCCCACTCTGCCCAGTGAGGAGCAAAGTAAACTGAATCCCGCCTGCCCGGCATGCTTGGGGAAGGGGTTCAGGTGGCCCTGTGTAGATACTAACTCAGAATCCTCATGCTCTCTGAAGAAGGGTCTGTGACCCCATTTACAGAGAGGGAGACTGAGGCGTGAACAAGCGGGCAGGGGGGATTTGCTAAACTTCACACACCTGGTGTGTGGCAGAGCCAGGATTTGAACCCAGGCATTCTGGCTCTGGACCCCAAACTGGTCATCACAAAGCTAAACCAGCTCTGGCCAGCAGGGAAACTGAGCATCTTGCCCAAGGAGCCTTGCAGGGATGTGACCAAGCAGGGTGGGCTGGGTTTCTGTCGGGGGGGATTATTTGGCATCTACTCTGTGCACAGTTAAGCCTCCTGACCCCGGGGTCACAACCCCGCCACGTCCTGCAGAGAAGCCAAGGGGCAGTGATTGCGTAGGGCTTGGGCCATTGCTGATGCTCTTCCCTGAGATGGGCGAGAGGCAGGGCAGAGCACTGGTGGGTGGGGGTTGTGCTGCAGCGTCTGTTCCCAGGAGCTGGTCTGTGTGAAGTGTGGGGGTCCCAGCACCCCCCGTGGGGCTGCACTGGTTTTCCCAGCCCTGGGACAGGGCTGATGAGGCCGTTCCCTCTCCCTGGGCCTTCCCCTTTGCCCACACAGGGCCATCAGAGGTCTTTCCCTGGAGCCTCGGCTCCCCACTCATGAATTCTTGCCTTCTGTTGAGAAAAGGGCCTTCGCTGTGTCCCTGTGTCCTCCCACTGCGCCTGCCCCACATGTTGCTTGATTCTCTGCTAGAGTGGAGTTTCACTTCTCTGCTGTGGGGCTCACACTTCAAGCACTTGTGAATCTCCTGCCGGTCTTGTTAAGATGCAGATTCTGGTGCACAGGTCTGCACTGGGTCCGAGATTCGGCCCACGTTTCCAGCCAGCCGCCCACCGTGGTCTGCAGACACAGGCCCAGCAGCGGGCTCAGGGATCAGCGTTGCTGTGAGTGGTTGGCTCCATTTTGCAGGGACAGCATGTGTCCCTTAGGCAGCCGAGCTGCAGGCTGTGCATGATGAGGCTTTGAAGGCTGTCAGGAGCAGAGGCAGGACTCCTGGGAGCCCGTAGGAGAACTCTGGGTTGTCTTGCCCTAGCACTTATTTAAATGCCAGCTCGGGGGCTGGAGATATGAGGGACACAACACCACTCAGATAAAGGGGAGACAGGTGAAGTTGAGCAGAGAGAGGTCTTGGGGAGGGGAGGTTCCCGGGGTGCCCCTTTTTGAAGTGGACTCATACTAGATCTGCAGTTGGTGAGGAGGAAGCAACTGTGCAGGGCGCCTGGTGCCCACTCTGGGACCTGGTATGGGAGCTAAGGGAGGGGCCCACAAACTGCTCGTACTGAGTCACTGGCAGAGTGACCACAGGCCTGTCACCTCTCCCTGCCTTGCTATGGTGCAGCCTCTGAAGCTTTGCTTCCCCACAGTTACGTCCTGGCAGGAGGCACAGAGCTGTTTCCCTTACAGAGGTGGCCCTCCTCCTCCTGGATTTGAGCTCCCCTCCCCAGAGGGCCAGGCGGCATCTCTAGAAACAGATTATTCCAAGTCATGCATTTGCCAAGAGCCTCCTCCCCTGCCCCCGTGACTAGCTGGCTCTGAAATCTAGAGCCTGCTTCTGCCGCCACAGTGGTTTATCATCTGAAATTTAGCAAGTGACTCAGAAGAGGGAGGCCTCTTTCCGTACAGTCACACTCTGTGGTCACTGGTTTTCACGCAGAGGAGCTCAATGGGGGCAGAAGCAGGCCACGCTCCCTGCAGGTGAAAGTGACCATGGTCACAGTTGAGGAAGTGGGCCCTTCCAGGAGGGGCCTTCCAGAAGCCTCCCGAGATCCGCCACAGCTCACAGCACGGATTTCCAACAGTGAGAACGCTGCGCTGGGCTGTTTTGAGGAAGGCTCCAGGGCAGGAATCAGGTTGCCTTTTTTAAACAAGTAGGGCATTGTGACCTCGATTTACTCCAGACCCGTCAGAGGGAGTCCCCTGGGGACAGGCCTCCCCAAACGGCACTGCCAGGTCTCCTGGGTGTAGGGGAGCCAGGTGGCCAGGGGAGGGGAGGGCGTGTGTCCGTATGTAGGTGCGGGGTCTTCCCCAAGAGGGGCTGTAGGAACCCCCGGCCACCCACTGCTCCGTGACCGCGGGCAAGTGCTTCACTTCTTGTGTCTCAGTTTCTTTATCTGTAAAAGGGGTTTCTGACAACACCTCTCACGTGGGGTCATTTCAAGGCTGTGGTGCCTTAGCCCATCCCAGAGCACGCGCCTGGCTTCATCACCTTGGACTCCAGAGCCCAGAAGAATCCTCCCAGTGTGGGGAGAACCTTGTGAAGTTTTATTTTCACCATTTTTTACTTCATATGCCCACGGTAGTTCCTGTGCCTGTGTGTATAACATCTAGATCAGTGTGCATGAATTCATGACTATTTTTATCATTTGTCATTACCATAATTATGATTTAATCCAAACGTGTGATTAAATTCTTTGCTGATGGGCTTCTATTCAAAACATGTGGTGGCCGCGATTGACCCTGAGGCCCCTGTGAAGTCCCTGCATGGTGCCCGACTGGCTCACACCCAGCTCTGCTGCCCTTTGCTGACACTGTCCACGCAGTGGTCCTTTTGGGAGAGGTCTTCTTGCTTCTTTCTCCTGTGTGTGACACAGTGGGCCTCCGTCTGGGGTCGGTCTGAGGCACATGAGCTCCCTGGGTCTGTACACCCCCAGTTCACATGGGCACAGAGCACACCGCCTCCTCCTGAGCTGGAAGCCAGGCCCCATGGGTGTGTCACCACACCTGCTTTGGGTGCCATGCTTGCTGGAGGCTGCCGGGTGACCAGAATTGGTGTGGGGCTGTGTTTTGCAGGAACCAACTATTGCACGTGCCCCTGAGGCAGCACCAGGTGAGCTGCTGTGACTGGCTCCTGAAGGTCATCTGTGGGGTGGTGGCCATCCGCACAGTGTACGCGTCACACAAGCAGGCCAAGGCCTGCCTCATCTCCCGCATCAGCTGTGAGCGTGCCGGCGCTCGCTTCCACACTCGAGGCGTGAACGACGATGGCCACGTGTCCAACTTCGTGGAGACAGAGCAGGTCAGTGCCAGGGGCCCACCCGTGACACCAGGTGGTTCAGAGTCACACAGCTCATGCAAACATGTTTCTCCTGGGGACACAAGCAGCCCTGATGCAGTTGAGCTGGTTCTGATCATGACTTCTCTCTGTATCTGTGACATTGGAACTCTGCATGAAAATGTGGCCTCTGGTTTGCATGGTCTGTCTCTTCCTCTTGGTTCACATCTCCTGCTGGGGAAATGTTGCTTACCTCGGGTGTTTTTAACTAAAAGCAATTGGGAATGTTTGCTGTGGCCAGTTTATTCAGGGAGCAGCTGACAGATGAGCCAATAGGGGTTGAAAAAAGTTTGTAGGAAAAAAAGTAGATCAGTACAAGAGGAGGAAGAGAAGCAACTGATTGTTATTCTTTTTTTATTAGTTTTTATTCTAATTTGTTATATATGACAGCAGAATGCATTAGAATTTATATTACACATATAGAGCACAATTTCTCATATCTCTGGTTGTATACAAAGTATATTCACACCAATTGTGTCTTCATACAGTACTTAGGGTAATGGTGTCCATCTCAAAAAGATGGTGGACTGATTGTTTTTCTAACTTTTTTTTTTTTTTTTTTTGTGGTGCTGGGGATTGAACCCAGGACTTTGTGCATGTGAGGCAAGCACTCTACCAACTGAGCTATATCCCCAGCCCTCTGATTGTTATTCTAAATGAGCTGACTCCACCTAGAAGCGTGCACTCGCACCTGGCAATTGGGGAGTCTGCGTGCTGAGTGGCAGGGGCTTTCAGCTCCCGCGAACAGAACCATCTGTGAAATTCCTCGTTCCCTAACTTCTGTTCTCGTTCCCTAACTTCTGTTCTCGTTCTCAGAGATGCTGTCTTACAACTTGTTTTTGCTCTAGCTTTCTCCCTGTAGGACAGTGCCATCTTATAGGATAACGGGGATCAACTCTAAGAAAGGAGGCCCCAGGAGGGCACTGTTTTGACACTGCGGGGGGGGGGGGGGTGGCGCACTGCACACCTGCGGGAGGAGCACAGGTGTAGCTTTGCGTCCTCCTTCTCTGCTGCTGGGGGAGGCTTCTTGGGAGGACTTGAGTCAATTTATTCAGCACAGATTTGCACACCTGTCTCCACTATGTGTGAGCTTGTGCATGATCCGGGGTTCAAAGATGACGAAAATTGGTGTGGGTCACCATTTGCAGGAGCCAGCTGTTGCACATCAAAGGTGCAGCAAGGAGAGGCTCCTTCTGGAGTCCGGTGTCCACAGGAGGGACCTTGGCACAGGAGCAGGTGCGCTGTCTTGCCTGTGGCTGTCCACGGAGCTTGCTCCTCTGAGTGTTGACCAGGCTGCTCCATAATTATCTGGTAAAAAATGAGTCAGAGAGGGTATATGCCCCCCACTGGAGGCCATTTTCCTTGCTCCTGTCTGCTTGATGCAAATGACTTCAGCTCTCACTCCACCTTCACTAGCACCTTGTCCTCTTTTGGGTCCAGGTTGTTGCCCTTCAGCCCCTGAGTTCCCTCAGCGGATCTTTAGTATGTATCATCTGCTGGGTTCTGTGCTGGGAAGAGGGGACCAAAGCTGTGCAGCACATTTGTACAAGATCAACATGACAGAGACCTTGAACTTGGTGACACACCAGATTCCAGAGATCACCTTGGGGTTCCCCGAGGGAGTTCCTGAGCCCCATCTCCACCACATTCTCTGTCTCGCCCTGGGGCACCCAAGCCCTTATCTGGTCCAGGTGTTGGTGTTCCCAAGGTTTTTGGATTTAAACCAGTTTAAAAAATAAAATAAAACAAACTGGTCTCATCTGCTGCATCTGACCCAGCGCTTCATTAGGGAGACAGCTGCCCTCTACGCCTCTACCCTTTCCTAGAAGAAAGGGCATTTTATTTTTTAAAAAAAAATATTTTTAGTTGTAGATGGACAAAATACATTTATTTATTTATCTTTATGTGGTGCTGAGGATTGATCGAACCCAGGACCTCACACATGCTAGGTGATTGCTCTACCACCGAGCCACAATCCCAGCCCCAGACAGGACATTTTCACACTGGACACCAGGAGTTTCCTGGGGATGCTGCAATGAACCCCCACCCCCACCCCCACCCCCACAGGATGGCTTGAAACAATGGGCATTTGTTGTCTCACAGTTCTGGAGGCTGGAGTGTGACATCAAGGTGTCAGGAAAGGCCATGTTCTTAGCAAAGCCCCTAGGGGAGGATTCTTTCTCACCTCTTCTCCCTTCTGGTCACCCCAGGTGTAACCAGGCTTGTGGCCACATCACCCCTTTCAACCCCTTCTCCCTGTTTTCCGCTCTTTATAAGGAGGACAGTCATACTGATCCAGGGCTCGCCCTCCTCCAAGATGGCCTCAGTTAACTAATTGCACCTGCAAAGGCCTTGTTTGCAACAAGGTCGTGATTTGAAGTGTTGAGGGCTAGAAGTCTAACACATCTGACCCACCTCTGACCCGTGAGGGGGCTGTGCTTTGGACATGATGCATTTAGCCTTAGGAAAACCTCCTGTGATCTCCCCTTTCTCCTTCTGGAGACTAGCAGACTTGGCCCTAGACTCTGTTGGGGGCTTTGCTCTGGTTATTTCCTGCAGTGTGCCCAGTGACTTAGATGTGGCTCTTGCTGTCCTACTTTACTTGCTAGGGTTCAGGAGCAGGCACCTTACGCCATGTCTCCTGAGTCTTCCACGTGGGGCCTTAGAGATAGGACCAGCAGGCTCCTCCAGCCCCCTGCTTTGTGTTGTTATTAATGCAGCACCACAGCCTGGGTAAATTATGAAGAGGCTTATTTTGACTCACAGTCCAAGGTCGAGGGGCCACATCTGACGATGGCCTTGCTGGCAGTCTCAGGGTGCAGGGTGTCACACGGGAGCACTAGCCAAGCTGGCTATGAGCAAACCACTCTCAGACACCCCCCTCCTTGCCAAGGGCAGAGCCCAATCACCTCTTCAAGATCCCAGTGGTCCCACCCTTAATGTTTCATAATGGCCATCAGTTTCACCTGCGTTTCAGAGGGGACGCACCCTAGCAAGCAAGTTGCTATTTAAATTGCCTTCCTGCTTGGGGCTGGGGGAGGGCTTCCCTGGCTCCCATAAGCCCTGGTGCTTTTCATCCCTTGACCTCCTTTGGGTCTGACAGTGCTGGTGCCTCCATGAAGTCCCCACCAGACCTTGCTCCCAGGGGCAGCAATCATGGTGGTGCAGCCGGGCTCCACCACCTGCTGTCCACCCAGAGATGTGGGCAGCTGCAGGCGCCAGCCCTCACCCACCGAGAGGTATAACTTCACCCCGAGGTGACTTCGTTTTCACCAGACTTGGAACCAGACATGAGGGTTGTGCCTTGTTTTGTTTTTTGTTGGGTGTGTGCATTTCCAGCTGCCCAGATGGACCCTCTGGGAAGGAAGAGCCCAGGCTGGCTCAGGCCTTCAGACACCCCATGCATTCTGGCCACTATGATGCTGGGGAAGAGGGTGACCCTCTGGGGAGGGCCATGTCACTCAGAGCTGTGTCCAGGTTGTCCTCAAAGCAACGTGGAAACAAACCCTGGGCCCTTGGGCAGAGTCTGGTAGTGAGCCACCTGGGCTCAGGGCTCCCCTCCTAGGCGTGTGGGGACATGGGATGCATCAGGAACAAGACCAAGGCGCTGCCACCCTCCCAGGGTGCTTCCCAGCCTCCGCTCAGCTGCCTTCCTCCTGCCTGGCTCTCTGGCCACCTGCTGCTGAAGGTACTTCTAATGCATCAGGAGATGGGAGCTGGGTGGGAGGGGGTGTAGCCCGGCCTGCTGTCTTTGCTGAGTTCAGGGAGCAGCCAGCCCTGCAAAGGGTGGGCTGCGTGTAAGCACAGAGGAACCTGCCTTGTGGCCTGGTAGCGGATTGCCCATTCAGGACCGAGATGGTCTGATGGGAGCCAGGTGGGTCTACTCCCTCGAGTCTGTGGAGCAGGACCATGAGCCCCCAGGTGGGTGGTGTTAAGGGCAGAGCCTCCTCAAGTAGGTGTCCCATGGCCTTGCTCATGGTGAAAGAGCAGCTTGCAGGGCTCTGAGGCATTTTCCAAAGCGTTCAGCAGGTGGCTGGCTTCTTCCTCTACACCTGAAATAAGTGGCAGACTTTGCATCTGGTCACCTTGCCCCAGGGGGAAGGGGGCTTGTGGGGGCAGTATAGCCCTGGGGGTGTTGCCACAGACCTCTGCTGGCCAGGGATCCTGCTGGGGTCTGGAGTCTTCAGACCTGAGCCATCCTCTAGGGAAGTGGAGGCGCTGCAGTGGGCCCTGGAGGTATCACTGTGAACAATCAGGGGACCACACAAAGAGCCAGGGGCTTGGTGGAGACTCTGGGGAGGCAAATTGGCTTTCCAGAATTCATGCTCTGGAGGCCCAAGCCGGGCCTTGGCCCCGCTCTACTTTTATCTTTAGCAGTCTTCCTCCTCCTGGGCTGGCTGGGCGTGCACATATGTTCTATGTGTGTGTGTTGTGTGTATACTTGTGTGGTGTGCGCACACATGCTGTGTGCTCGTGTGAGTGGCATCTCGGGCTCCTTGGGCGGAAGTCCTGAGCCTTTCAGCTCTGCCATGAGTCATGCGGTGGACGCTTCACCCGTGACTCACTGTGCAGAAAAACAACCCCAAAAGTCCCCCATTCTGTCAAAAAAAAAAAAAAAAAGACATTTGACTATGGAAGATAAGTGCAGCAAGTGATGTGGGGGTGGGTACCACTGGGTGTGCTCCCAGGGGGCAGGGGCAGGTGGAGGATAGGAGTCTAGCAGGAGCCTTCCAGATGAAACTGGTTACAGAGTTGCCTGTTCTCCTGTTTTCCAAACCATTTTTTAAATGGCCCTTTGTTTTCTGCTCCCACCACCTCTGACACTGTCAGCTCAGGGTGCCCTCTCGGCTGCCCAGCCCAGGAGCCACACTCCTGCTGGCCTCCCATGGCCCTGGGGTTCCTGCTGTCTGTTTGCCTTCCGGGGCCTGGGGCTTCTCCTGGTCTCCCTCCAGCCCTGTCTGTCCTTGGACTCCCTCTTCTCCACTGAATGCAAGTGCCATGGAGCATCACTGGTGCTGGGGGCCAGGTGTGGACCCAGGGCAGTGCGGGACAGACATGGATGGTTCTCCCAGGGAGGAAGGAGCAGACGACACGACCTTCCTGCCGGTGTTCAGAAGCTGGTTCTGGGCAAGTGCAGCTCAGGAGGACCCAGCACTCCTGGCACGTGGTCATCAGAGTGAAAGAGGAGAGTCCCTTAGCTCAGTCAGATTCTGGGCTTGTTAACGGTCCATTTTAGAAAGTAGCCCAGCTGGTTTCTCTCTGAGGAATCTGAACCTGTGTGGCTCCCAGTGCTGGTCAGTTGATGTCCTTAATCTCAAGGTAGCATTCAGGGCTGCGGTCATTTGAACAGCCTGCTATTCTGTCCTGTTTTTCTTAGAATCCTGGAGGGTCACAGCAGACAGCACATTCTGAACCCAGTGCTTCGCTTCTTCTGAGATGAAGGGTAGAATTACAGCTCGCAGCCTAGATACCCGGCTCGTGTCATTCCTGTGGTCCAGGGGACTGCGGGTCTCATGTCACGCTCTCCCCTGCGGAATTACTAATGCATGTGTGATCTGAGCGAGCTCTAACCTGCGTGGAAAGCTACCCTGTAAGGGAGCAGGCTGGTTAGCAATGGAAAGGACTCTCAGCGGCGCCCAGGCTGGCCTCGCCAGGCCAGGGTAGGGTTGCACAGATAAAGGCCAGGCATCTGATAACCACAGCAGCCTTCCCCTGGGTGCTCAGGACTGTACCTTTTGTCCTTCAGACTCCTTGTGCTCCAGTAACTCTGGAGGCCCGCAGGCACATGCTGAATAACAGGGCTGGGGGTGACATTTTTTAAAGCCTGAGTGTCATTTGCTTCTATGCAGGGGCTGTACTCTGGAAGCTCATGGACACCGTGTTGCTTTTGCTGATGGAGTAGTGTATTCCAAGAACTTGGTGGCACAGGGCCAGGTGCAAGTTCAAGTCCAGTCTTGCCTTACATTGTGAAGCACTAGACTGACAGGTGCAGTCAATTAGGTCCTTTGACTGTATTGCTTGTTCATTTTATTTCATTTAATCCTTTCCCAGTAGCTCTTGCTCTTTAGCTATTGGACAGGTAAAAATAGAGGCTCCGAGGAAGGTCTTAGTTAAACCCCAGGCACATCTGCTTCTATTCCTACATAGAGGTGGGTAGGTGCTGGGCTTTTTAGGGATGTGGGTAAGTTTGCATCCTAGAAGGGTGAATTCCCACCAGCTCTGGGGGACCTCCAGCCCTCTCCAGACCCCTCCTCTGATGCTGGCCAGCAACTGGTGTGCCCTGTGGATCACCATGCTGGGTGAGAGAGCAGAGGGCGCCGCAGTCCACTGTCGCCCTTCATGGCTGGTGTCGGGTCGCAGGCACCAGATCCTGTTACTGGCCCAAGACATTTGGTTTCATTGAAGAATACCTTTCCCTCTGTTTCCTTCTGCTGCAGACGATTTACATGGATGATGGAGTGTCGTCCTTTGTCCAGATCAGAGGCTCGGTTCCACTGTTTTGGGAGCAGCCAGGGCTCCAGGTAGGTAATATAAACAAAAACATGTCCACTTCTGTTACAGTTTCTCAGCCCTTCCCTTTGATAACTGTGGTGTGTTTCTTTAAATGTTTCTCTCTTGTGCTGTAGTTTCTGGTCTTTCCTCAGCCCATCTGTACTGAGGTGAGCTCTGTGTGTGTGTGTGTGTGTGTGTGTGTGTGGTGTGTGTGTGGTGTGTGTGGCATGTATGTGCTGTTTTGCAATTTCTGGATCTACAAACATGCATGGTGTTTGCTGTTGATCCGGATGCAGAGCACGGACCCTGCTGGGGGTGCCACGGAGCGTGCCTGGGAGGGTGGCCTTAGATGGGACCCTAAGTTTGGTGTGCTGAGAATGACTTTTGAGAGCAGCAGCTCTACAGAGGCCTTAGAGGGTCAGGGGGCCCTTTGTGGTGGTGTCGTGTATCTGGCACTCATGGTGCCTGCGTGCCACGTGCAGATTGCACAGAGCTTTCTTGTGGTTGCTAAAAATACCCTGGAGCATCCAAAGCAGGGTGTGGGTCGGTGCCAGAAGGATTTGGCCTCTGTGTCCTGGGAAGAGTTCAAGGGCTGCGGACTCTGTCCAAGAGCACACTTGTCAATGGACGCTGGGCTGCACCCTCAGCAGACAGGTCAGGGCAGAGCCGGCTGGAGATTCCTCACGCTGACCCCATCTTCTCCCCTGCCCTGAAGGAACATGGGAGCCTTCGGAAAGCCCGTCTCCTGGGGCCTTTGTCGTCTCCCACTCTTCTTACCGAGGGCTCTCGCGTGACTGCGTTTGGGTCCGCAACCAGCAGTGGCTGAAGAGGCCCCAGGTGCTGTGTGCCAGGTCGTTAGGGGTGTTTGACACAGTGGGGCTCAGACTCCCTGGTCTTGAGTTCAGCTTCTTAGCCCAGCCTGGACTTGGCCCAGTGCTGCTGGTAGGTGAGCCTCCTGTCCCCAAGTTGCTGCCTTGATGGTGCTGGCATGTCAGCTAACTGCCATGTCAACTCTGAGAGTGAGGCAGATAGTTGAGCATCTCATTTGGTCTCTGGGTTCTGTGGGGGGAAGGTTTTATGGACAGTGTCTTTAGCTAGACGACCCAGATGCAGGGGTACGGCTGGTGGCCTTGAGAGGTAACATAGGCAAATGCACCGGAGCTGGATTGTAACAAGGACAATTCCCCCAGAGCACTTCCAAAGCAGTCTGGTTTTTGGAAATGGCTTTAGTGAGATACAACTTCCTCGCTGTCAACTCCACCCGTTTAAAACACACGACTTGGCAGTGTATTTACAGGGTTGTGTAACGAGCGCCACAATCTAATTTTAGAACGTTCCCATCGCTGCTAGAAAACCTCGTGTCTGTCTTCCCAGCTCTGCCTCAGGCCTGGGCTGCTCCTGTTCTCCTTTCTGTCTCTACAGAGTTCCCAGCCTGGGCCATTGAAGGGGAACCCAGGCCGTTCCTATCACAGCTGATTGAGGCTTGATTGTCTTTAAATTTGGAGTTTTCCTTTGGAAACATCTTGTTCTGTTTTTAAGAGGATGACAATCATAGATCTCATGAGTGTAGTACAGAAAGGAATCAGGAGACCATGTTATATTTCATGGGCAGTTTGTAAGAAATCCCCAAATGGAGGGGACTGTCGTGACAGTCTTAGAATTTTGGAAGGACCCTTTGGAATTATCTGTCTTGCCCTCACACCAAACTCGAGGGTCCTTCTCCAGGAGGCCGTGCTCTGGGCTCTACCTGGGGATGGCTCTGATTGATTGTGACTTCCTCCTTGGACTGTGCCTCTGTCTGTCTGCCTGTCTCCACAGGGTGTTCAGGGACAGGAGAAGGCCTGACTCTTCCTCCCATGGCTCACCTGCAGTCTGGAGGGGGAGCCTCGTGGTCGTCCCTCTGCCATTTTGTCTCCTCCAAGGCCTTCCAACTCCTTGGCCATCTTTGGTTCCGTTTCTAGGACTCTTGGAGTTTTCTGGTTTCCCTCGTCTGAAAAACAAAACCAGGCCTGTCCGTCCCTTCTTTGGTTTTGGTCTCCGGCTTGACCATGGTGGTGATGCTGCAGGTGCCGCCTGACCCCGTCGCGGACCAAGTGCCTCAGTCTGATGTGAGCCGGGCCGAGGGACTTGGGCGCTCAGCTTTCTGGCGGCTCCGTCCCTCTTAGATTGCTAACAACTTGAGCTCCACTGACGCCTCCGTGGTGTCTTCAAACGCAGTTCTAAAGTCTTTAGTGCTCGTTAATCTTATTAGGGATTTGTTGACCTTTGGGCCCCAGGCCTGTGCTTATCCTCTGAAGTATCATCCGCCATTGAAGAGAGATGCAGCCATCTTCAGAGGGCACCAGGAGGGCAGCCTTCCATGGTGGACTGTGGTCACCCAGGCTGGACATCAAAGCAGGCTTCCGGGTCTGTTCTGGCTATTTTCCTCCGTTTTGAGCTTTTCCCCTTCTTTCATTACTTAGGATGAAACATTCAAGGACTTGGGGGTAGAGAGCTCTGCATTCCAAGTTGCAAACCAGTACCTTCCTGAGGGCCACTCTGGGAACGCCATCCCTGCCAGGGTGGGGAGGACAGAGGGGCCTGTGGGTGATGATTTGTGCGTGTATTCACAGGCGTGAGGCCTTCAGAACACACGCTGGCTCTCGAGTCTCTCTCTGTACCTTTAACAGTTTTGTCTTTATAATGTAAACAGGTTGTACAGTTTATAAGTGAAATTTTACCTTAAAAATTCATCGCCCCCCCCCCCCCACTTTGAAGTTATACAGAGTTGGGTTCTGGTTCAAATTCTGCCACCCCACTTAGTACCATATACTTTTGAGAAGTTCTTATGTTTGTGAAACCTTAGTTTAATCTTCTGTAAATGGGGTTAGTAATACCAACCTCAGGGTTACAGAAAGGATCGAAGTTCATAATACATATTAGAATTTAACACAGGATCTGCACCAAGTACGCTCAAAATGGTGGCTGTATTAATAATAGAAAGACATGATAACATCTGGGACGAGCTGCGGAGAGAGAAATGCGGTTCTGTGTCTGAGACACAGCACAAAGACCGTTTCCTGGGCTGTCTCTCTGACAGGAAGTCAGCTACCCCTGGCTGAGCTGTTGATCATCCTGGGGACTTGGGACAGCATCTTGCAGGTACAGGTGGCATCAAGATCAGAGCCTCTGCCTTGGGGCAGGGACATGACAGTGTTCTGTAAATAGAGCTATGAGAGAAGGCTGAGATCCCCTGGGCTGCTCTGGGGAGGGGCAGGCGGCCCAGGTTGAGGGGCTGGGGCTGGGGTGCAGCTGCCCGGGATCCCCGAAGGTATCCTTCTGGATGCGTGTCTGGACTGACTGGGGTGGGGTGGGAGGGACCTCTTAGGTGGGGGAGGCAACCCTGGCAGAGGGAATAGCAGGTGCGTGTTTGTAACCTCAGGGTCATGGCGGCGTACCCAGGGAGCAGCCTGAGTTCAATGCTTGGGCTCCTAGGCGAGAGGTGGGATGGGAGAGGAGGGCAGGAACCAGGTTAAGCCACTGTATATGTTGGAACTCCCCCAGGAGCCCCAGGGTGGGGCCCAACTGTGCTGTACATTAGGATCACCTGGGGCCTGGAGTGTCGCTCGGTGAGACCCTGAGTTCCATCCCCAGCACCAAAATAAATTTCTTAAAAAATGAAGTAATAAGCTGAAGAATCGCCTGGGAGCCTTAAGGCTCCTGACCCTCAGGCCAAAGCCACATGGATCAGCTGGCTGTGTGGCCTGGAGACAGCCTGCTTTCTGAAGCCCCCGAGGGCACTGCAGTGGGTCAGCGTGGGGCCCTCTGGGTATGCAGATAAGCCAGTGTTCTTGGGTGGGGTGCAGGGAACAGTGACCGAAGGCTGGTCTGTTAGCACTGCTATCACTCAGCCCACCGGTGGGACGGCAGAGCTGGGAAGGGCTGCGTGGCCGTGGGAGCCCCCCCCACCACTGTGCAACCCAGGCTGCTGCACTGAGGGTCAGCAGGGGGCTGTGGTTAGCCAGAAGTCTCTGTAGTTCAGACTGGAGAGGGGGGACTGAGGGAAGGACCCCAGGTGGGAGAAGCTGCAGGTGAACCCTGCCCTCAGGCTCCAGGTGGGGGCCGTGGATCTGGGGAGCCTGGGGATCCTGATTGATTTCAGTCCCTTTCGAGTGTTGCCGGGTTCTCTGGAGACTTGGACTGTTGGAGTGGCCAACCCCCTTAAACACCGTGTGGGGTCTCCAGGATGGAAGAAACGACTTTAGGCACCAGACTGGGGCAACTGACCCTTTAGCAGGGGGCGGGGGCGATGGTGGGGGGGCGAAGTAGAGGGAGGGACGCTAATAAAGCCGTGGACCCAGCTCCAGCGTCCGTGGCCAAGGGAGGCTTCACTCCGCCCCAGCTGCAGCTCCTTCCTGAGCTCTGACACGTGCGACCTCAGGAGTCGGTGACACCAGAGGAGGGCAGTGGGGGTCAGCGTAGGAGTGGGCCAGCAGTGGGGGAGGTGCTGGCAGGGCCGGGCAAGCTGGACCTCAGAGAAGGAGATGATTTCCTGAGAAAATGGGGGCTCCAGTTCCCCTCCATTGCCACCCCAGGCCCCTATCCACTTTAGAGGCAGAGGGGCCCAGGGCCATCATGGCCGAGAGGTCACTAAGGCCCCTGTGGTTCTGTACTGAAGTCCAACGCCCTGCTCTGGGGACTTCAGTCCCCAGGTCTGCTGCTTCCCCGCTGTCCCTTTCCTACCCCTCACGGGCATTTACAACCCAAGCCAAAGGGGAAGGGAGCAGACAGGGAGCGAGTTAAAACCAGCGTTGCCCACACACTGGAGCAGGTGCGCGTAGCCATGGCCTCCAGGGCCCGTGGAGGCTCCCTCTGGGCCCGCCCATGAGTCTTGGTTCAGCACACTGGGCTGGGCCCGAGAGTCGCCCAGGGACCACACTGTGAGAACCACTGGTGCAGACTTGGAGGTCTTCCCCCAGCTCCTGCCCGTGACTCCTTCGTGTTCCCAGGCAGGCTGGTTGTGGTGGGACAGGAGGCCTTTCCCATGACAGTCATGCCCGTGGAAAGAGACAAGCCAGAGGCCTGGGAGACCCATGCTTTGGCCTCCGTCCTGCTGTTGGCTGCTTATCCCATCTGCTTCCCACTGACCCCCACTGATGTTGAGGGGACCACAAACGGCAAGCTGTCTCATCTCGCCTTGGTGTGCTGCTGCTTCTCGGCCCCTGAGGGCAAATCTCAACCAAAGTAGCCTTTGTTCTACAGGCTTGTTGGGAACTTTTTGGTGTCTCTGGGTCTTTCCATGGTGCCCCTCGCTGGGTGGTAATCATCAGGGCACCCAGTACCTCAGCGGTGGGCTGAGCACGTGGTCTTTGTAACGAGGTCCCAGAGCCTGGAGACCACGCTGCCGGGTGGGGGTGTTTGCTGTTGGCTCCACCTTTTTAAAAGAAGAGCCTTGGCTGATGGAGGGAGAGACAGTGGGCCTGTCCGGCCCTACAGCTAGTCACGACTGAAGGCCAGGCCCTGCCTCCGGACCGCTGACTCTGTTCTCGTCTCCCTAGGTTCCCACGGGGGTGGCTCTGCAAAGAGTGCACTCCTCGCTGCCCCGTCAGCCCAGAGAGCGAGAGGAGCCGTGGGTAGGGCGGCCTTCTCAGTACCGCAGGGCCGTGCACGGTTTTCGAGTCAAGTGTATGACCTTTCCTCAGCCGGGGCATTGGTGGTGACTGGGGAAAGGAGGGCAGGGGAAACTTGGCAGCAAGATGAAGGCATTTGGGCTGAGCCCTCCTCAGGAGCCCTGTTCGTGCACAGTGGAGGGGCCTCGTCGTGTGAAATGTTCCCCTGTGACCAGGGTCTTGGGAGCACAGGGCGTTGGACTTCGTTGAATCATTTGTATAGATGGCCTTCTCCCGGTCTCAGAGGATGCTTTCCTCAAACCTGAGGCGAGGTGGGTGTATGGTCCGAGGTGTTCAGAGCTGTGCATGAATGCATGGTAGGGCTGGCCAGTGGCCATGCCTGGCCGGGTGGACACCACTCTTCTTACCGCTGTAGAGATGAGCAAAACCGAATGGTGTTTTTCTCAAAACTTGAAATAATTTCAGACCCACGAAAAATTGTAAGAACAGAAGAGGGCTCCTCTGTGTCCTTCACCCAGATGCACTCAGTTGTCACCTGTGGTCACACACGTGGTTTTACCACTTATTTTCTGAACCATTTGAGAGTGGGCAACATCGTCGGGCACCCTCCAACTCCGCCTCCTTACCTATAATATTTCAGGATGCTTTTCCTGCAGCAGTTACACTCTGATGTCACCAGAGATAAATGTACATTTGAGAAATTCAACATTGGCACAGTTCTTTTAATCAGATCTGCAGTCAGTTTCCAAATTGATTAGTTGTCTCAGTAATGTCCTCTGTAGTACCTTGTCCCCTTCAGTCTGGGCTCACATCCTGTATTTAGTTGTCACATATCTTTTTACCCTGATGGATTTCTTGGTCTTTTTGTCTTTCCTGACATTGACACATTCTTGAATGAAGGCCGCCTTTTTCTTTACTTTGAGGGTCTCTCACTTGGGGGTTTCCTGGTGTTTCCGGGTATGGATCCTTGGCCAGAATACTACCTATGTGACACTGTCTTTTTAGGCACATGGTGTCCATCATTCCCCTGTTAGTGATGTTGATTTCGGTCACCAGTCAAGGTGTTTTTCAGTTTTGCCACTTAGAATTAATGTTTTCCCTTTCAATATAAACAACCTCTGGTAGACACTTCGAGCTCATGCAAGTATCTTGCTCTTTATCACATTTAAGACTTATCAATGGATGACCTTGGCTGTTCTTTACTACTGATGGTTGTAGAATGCTGATTTTCTACTACTCCTTCTACATTTACAATTGATATTCTATAAGGAAGAGCCTTCCCTTCTTCCCTATTTACCTACTCACCCATCCATCCACCCACCTATCTATTCATCTACCTATCTGTGAATCCATCCATCCCCCTGCCTATCCATGAGCTCATCCATTAGTCCACATGTGCATGATCTCAGCCATCTACCTACCTACCTACGCCCACACCTGTTCATCTATCTACACATGAACTTGTCCATCCACAAATCCATGAATCCATCCATCTCTCCATAACTATTGTCAATATAGATCCATGGATTTCTCTACTTTATTCCTTAGTTTATAATCCACTACTGTCCTTATATAGTTTGATGCTCAGGTTGTCCCAGATTTTGCCAATGACACCCCTTCAAGCGTTCTAGTAACAGTATGTATTTTAAATCCGTTTTTTAAAGTGAGTATTAAGAAGGTAGTTGGAAATATTAAAATGGAATCAGATAATGAGTGTAACCCAGATTTTTTTTTAATATTTTTTAGTTGTAGTTGGACACAATACCTTTATTTTATGTATTTATTTTTATGTGGTGCTGAGGATCGAACCCAGGGCCTCACATGTGCTAGGCGAACACTTACCACTGAGCCACAACCCCAGCCCCAGTATAACCCAGATTTTAGCAGGAATTTGAGGTCCTTGAAAGAGAGAGAAAGCTGAAAATTAGTTTCTCTGGCCTGAGAGTTTGGGGATCTGACATTTGCTTCATAATTTTATCCTAGAATTTCTTTTGTCCATTGGAAGAATCCCACCCAGCAGATTCATGCTGTAGGCAGGACTAGGCAGAAGCAGATCTGTACTCAAGGCTCTTGGACCTGAGTTGGGAGCATGGTTAGCAGTGTCTGGTGATCAGGGCCTCTGAGCTGGGAGTGGGCCCCAAGCAGGCTGAGTGGCTGCCATATTGCCTGGCTGGCGGGGAAAAGTGCCTCCTCGAGTCACAAAGCAGAGGAATCACCACTGTTCTCTCTCCTCGCTGCAGGTGGGCTCCCACCATCTGAGGCTCCGCAGAGGCCTGGAAGCCAACGCCCCTGCTTTCGACAGGTAGGCATCTTTGAATGCCATCCGAGGCCTGGCATTCTCCATTCAGGCAGGGGGACAGGGGGCTGCAGGGAGGGGTACCCCAGACCCCAAGTCTAAATCTGCCTTTTATTTTGGTCCTTTTGCAAGAAAGGAGGTTACAAAATGGGTTTTCATGTGCTCTTGGATTTCCCTGAAGATTAGTTTGTGACTTTTTTTTTAATCATAACAGTTTCTTCTTGCAATGAACTTTCATGCATTTGCCCTGATTAATAAGGGATGGTCTAAATTATAGATATAATGGCATTTGGAAATGAGGTGACATGCGTGTGAGGCCACCCTGAGGGCAGGGCTGCTATGGCCCCCAAAGCGCAGTGAGGTGTCCCTGGACTGATGTGCCAACTCCTCTCCAGGACGCTGCTACTCCCTGTTATTCCACAGATTTATGCAGAGCCAATTCCTTCTTCCTCCACCCTTCCCACGGAAGGGCTTCTACCTACAGGACACGGGTTCCTTAGCAGTGCTCCATGGCTGCACTCTGGGTTTGTCCTGCTGTCACTGACCGCTCTCTGGCTGCATCTGTGTGTCCGAGGAGAGGGTTTTGGGAGCAGGCCTTCCACCGCTCCTGTTTGAGCAGGAGCTTGTCATCTGGGCGTAGTGCCCAGGGCCACGGGAGCGCTGACCTTTCATGAGGACAGTGTCTGCATTGCCTTTGCAGACAGTGAAGCTCTCCTCTGTCCGCCCTCTTGCTTTGTTGTGGCTGCCATGTCTGGAATCTCCCTGTGGACACTGGGGTGTGTCTGACAGTTGTTTCCACCCTGAAGAGGAGGGTGCTTAATCCTCAGTGTCCCAAAAAACTCCAGGTTCCCCTCTCCTTTCCCCTCACAGGAACAGATGGGCAGAGAGAGTGGAGAAAAGGCCCCAATACCCAAAACAACTAGGGCCAGGAGCACCTCTTCATGCCACTGACCTCGGAGTGGGGGCCAGACTCTCCCTGACCCCCGAGTCAGTGGAAAACACCCTTTATCAACAACAGTAATATCGTCTTATTTTTAGATTGAACGGGAGGAAGGAAAAGCCGACTTCCACATACTGAGCACTGTCCTTGTCACTCGCTCTCCTCTCAGACCTTTTTCCCTGCACCAGTTGTGCAGATGGAGGGCGCATAATGCGATCCAGGAAGGTGGGGGGTGTGACAGGATATAGGAGGAATAACAAGTAAGAGTTTCTCTTCCAACCCTGGAATTTGGAACCAGTTGGGAAGTAGGCACAGATGGAGACGAGGCAGCAGCCTGACTTCTCATCAGCTACATGTGGGGTGTGGCTGTGGAGGGCTTCCTCCTGTCACCCAGGGACCAACCCTCAGAGCTGGCAGCTCGGCCTTTCTCGCCAGAGGCAGAGCCCTCACGTCAGACCCCTGGACGGGATCCACCTTCTCTGGGCAGATCCCTGAGCTGGTGAGCCACATGCGTCCCATTTCCTCCTGCCCCATCCCGGGGCTGTCAGGAGCAGGACTCCTAGGGAGTTCCTCCAAGCAGAGACTGGAACCCAGGAGGGACTCATCCTTAACTCAGCAAGTTAGCAGACAAATCCAAACCTAAAGATCCTCTTCAAAACGCATATTCTTTTTACTCCAACTTGTTGTCCCTCAAAGTTTACAAGGGAATACTTTTTCTTTGAACTAAAAATGGTTCTTTTGTGATCTTTTTTTGTCTAAGTTCTGTTTATAAAAGAAACATGCCATTGTAGACATTGGGGGAAAGAGAAAAATGTTTAAAGAAAAAAAAATTTAAATCATGTAACACTCCATCCCTTTAACATAATGGTGTATTTCTTCTGTTTTTTTTTTTTTTTTTCTATATTTAGGCATAAAGATCTCACTTTTTAAAAAATATTGTTTTGGGCTGGGGATGTGGCTCAAGTGGTAGCGCGCTCGCCTGGCATGCGTGCGGCCCGGGTTCAATCCTCAGCACCACATTCAAACAAAGATGTTGTGTCCGCCAAGAACTAAAAAATAAATATTAAAAAAATTCTCTCTCTCTCTCTCTCTCTCTCTCCCTCTCCCACTCTCTCTTTAAAAAAAAAAAAAAAAAAACTTAAAAAATATTGTTTAATTGTTGATGGACTTTTATTTTTTTAATTTATTTATATGTGGTGCTAAGAATGAAACACATTCTAGGTAAGTGCTCTACCACTGAGCTACACCCCCAGCCCAAGACCTCACTATTAAGTTACAATTTTATGTCTAATTTTTACATTGCATCTTTCCCCTATATCTTTAAAAAAGCACTTAAGCATTTCTAACATTAACAGTTACTTTTTTCAATTTTTTTTTTTTAGTTGTCGGTAGGCCTTTATCTTATTTATGTATTTATAAGCGGTGCTGAGACTCAAACCCAATGCCTCACACATGCCAGGCAAATGCGCTACCGCTGAGCCCCAGTCCCAGTTACTTTTTTTTTTTTTAATATTTACTTTTTAGTTGTAGTTGGACACAATTTTATTATTTATTTATTTTTTATATGGTGCTGAGGCTCAACCCAGGGCCTCGCACGTGCTAGGCAAGTGCTCTACCACTGAGCCACAACACCAGCCCTACAGTTACTTTTAACAAGTTGGCAAGAAAGGATAATATTGGAGTCTCTCCCTAATATTTCAACATGCACATTTAAAAAGTCTCTGATGTAGGAATATTTTTCTAGAGCCTGCAAGACTTCTTGTACCTTCTTGTTTTGGTTCAATATAATGAAATGCAGAACTGAGGAGAGCTAAATACTGCTGTTGAGGGCTCACTGGCCAGGGTGTGTAGTCTTAAGGGTCAGTGCCAGGTAAAATAGGTTAATTTCAGAGCTGAGCGTAGCGGTACACACTGTAATCCCAGCTACTGGAGAGGCTGGAACTGAAGGATTGCAAGTTTGAGGCCAGTCTAGGCAATACAGTATGGCCCCATTTTTTTTTTTCAATCTATACATATTGTATTCACAAGACCATGGCTGTGGGTTGGCTGTGGACAGAATGGTGATGGTTTATAGAGAGGCCCACCTGGCTGCCTTATAGAAGCCTGAGGTGCTGTGTGCCATTCCTGGCCCAAAACTTCCATGCAGACAGGCGCTGACAGACCTGTTTCCATGGGTGGAGTTTCGAATAAACAGAGCGGGTGGCTGGGAGGGTGTGGCTCATTTTTCCACACTCTGGGTCAGTGGCATGACTGGTTCTGGACCTCTGACCCTGAGAGAGTGCTATCCCTTCTAGTCCATCGCTTTGACCACTCGGCCTCGACTATGTAAAGGAAAACTTTCTCTTTTTTTTGGTGGTGCTGGGGATTGAACCCAGGGACTTGTGCATGCTAGGCAAACGCTCTACCAACTGAGCCATATCCCCAGCCCCAAGTGCTGTCCCTTCTGCACCTCTTCCTTGAGGTGCCAGATGAGCCAGTCTGGACCCGGGTGTCACAGCATCACCATCCACCTGCTCTCTTGCAGGCACATGGTACTTCTGAAGGAGCAGTATGGGAAGCAGGTGGTCGTGAACCTGCTGGGGAGTAGAGGCGGAGAGGAGGTGCTCAACAGGGCCTTTAAGGTAACACCTAACACTGACTTTTCCTCACCTGGGTCGGGAGACTGGCAGGGCCTGTCAGGTGACAGAGCCCTGAGGCCCAGCGGCATCTCCAAGGCTTCCAGGAGGGCTCCTGTGGGCCCTGAGCCCTGTGGATGGCGTCCTTAGATTTTCCCACAACACCGAGCAGGGCAGTGCTGGCTGCCTGGGGCTCCTGATGCATTAAGTCTCATTTTTTTCGAGTTGGGGGTTGAGAGAATTTGCTTAAAGTCAAAACAAAGCTCCATTTCCCTGAGCTCCCCAAAGCTGCTTTCCCTGATGCCTTCTGCTCTCTTGAGGGGTGGCTCTTTAGTGCAGGCAGGGTGAAGGGAGCCCAGTGGCTGAATGGCGCCTCCTGAGGCTTTCCCACCAACCCCAACCCCTTTCCCTTTTCTGCCTTGAGCTCTGAAGAAAGGATGTCCTCAGCGCTCCCCCAGAAACTAGTGGCCTCACCTGCTCTTCAGAGCCCAGCTGGGTTCCAAGCAGGATGCCGCCCTCTGCTGGCCAGGTGGCCCTCACGTCTCTCCCTTTCATTTGGGCTGCCATGGAAGCTGGGTGCCGCCTCCCGCAGGCTCTTTCCACTTTCTGGTGCCTGGATCAGGGGAGGGCAGATCCTGGATTGAAGTGAGGAAGTGGTAGTAGGAGGTGACTCCACCCAGGTCTCCCTGTGAGCTTGCAGTCAACCATGGAAGACTCCAGAATGAGCTATGGTGGCCTCCTCGTTCCTGGCCCAGACTCCCATGGCCCCTGCTTAGTGGAGAAAGACTCTGGTTGTTTGAAGGTCAAGGAGGTCCCTGAGAGAGCTTACAGGCGTCTCGGCAGGGATGACAATGACCTCTGCGGCCTCTTCTGGCACTTTGACCCATGACTGGAGGAAGCCACACCGAGCTGGAGTGCTCATGTCCCTCTATAGAGAAAAACCCTATGCTTGGAGCAGGGACTTCCTGGTTACCAGTTTTATCTGGCCAGACCTGCTTTTCCTGTTTGGATTGTTGCTATGAGCAACAGGCTCAAGAAATCTCTCCCCACCCACCCACTTGGCAGCATTGCTGGCTGCTTATTTTAAGAAAAGGCTGGGGGCAAGGAAAACAAACCCCAATCCCTTTCCCTTTTCTGCCTTGAGCTATGAAGAAAGATGTCCTCAGCACTTCCCCGGCAACTAGTGGCCATGGCCCTGACACTGAGGCCAAGGCCTATTTTGTAAACCAGAGGACAGGAGATGGCCCAGGTCAGGAGGGCAGGTCCCTCGGCCTAGAGGAAAAGGCAGCACTCCAACTGAAGACCTGGGTCGTGGCCCTAGGGAGTCCCTCAACCAGACTGAGGCCATTGCTCAGGCAGGCAGCCAGGACTCAGTGGTTATCAGTCAACAGCTGGACAAGAAGCTGGCTCCAGAAGGTAAAGCCCTAAGCTACCAAACAGCCCACTGTTTGTTCCACAGATTTTCTTCCAAGTAAGACTTCCTGGATGATGGCACCATGTATTGGTTTATATTCTGGCTAGTTGAAATGACCCAAAGTCCTTCAGGTCCTTCAAAGTCCTCAGGACCCCTGGCTGGGCAGACACTGGTCTGATCTGATCTGAAGCCACACAGTGCAGGTGCAGTGAGGCCCAGAGGTGGGTGGCCTGGGAAGGCAGCCAGTCTATACTGGACCCTGGGGTGAGGAGTTCCTGGGCCAGGGAAGCCTTGGAGAAGGAAGGTCTCTGCGAGCAGCCCAGGCTGTGCTTCACCCCTGGTCCTCTGCTTCACCCCGTTGCTGGCATGTGCCTGGGCCAGGTGGGTTCCTGACCACTCATCTGCTTCATCCTAAGGTTTCACAAGTCTGTGTCCTACTGGCCACCTCAGCCTGGAGACTGCAGAGCCTACCCACTGGGGCTGGTGCCTGTCAGGATGGGGCTGGTTACCAGGGCAACGGGAACTGGATTATGAGCTCCACAGCCTACTACTTGCTACTCTTCCTGAGGGCCAGCGCACTTGGGCCCCCTGAAGAACAGAGCAACCCTTCCCTCACCTGTGCCCTCCAAGAGCCCTGCAGGAGTGGGATGTCCCCAGGGAGCAACCCCTGCTCCGGCCTCTTTTGCTCAAGGGGGAACTTCTGCCCTGGTGCAGGCAAGCTGTTCTTTGGAGTTTCTGTCTCCCAGGGCTTTTGACTGTGCTTCCCTTTGGGGGTCAGGCTGAGCAACCCCTCGGTCTTCCACAAGCCTCGGTGCCAGCCCGTGCCTCTAGAAGGGTGACTGGTTGGCCACATGTGGGCTTCAAGAGGAAGGTGGCTGCCCCTGCTCCGTCTCCTCACTGCCCTCCCCTTTCCTTTTCAGAAGTTGCTCTGGGCCTCTTGCCATGCTGGCGACACGCCTATGATCAATTTTGACTTCCATCAGTTTGCCAAAGGCGGGAAGCTAGAGAAATTGGAGAACCTGTTGAGGCCTCAGTTAAAGCTACATTGGGATGACTTTGATGTGTTCACCAAGGGCGAGAATGTAAGTCCACGGTGAGTCTCGCCTGCCAGCATCGCCTTCTGCCGGGTGAGGAGTCCGCTGTGGCTCTCTGGGAGGTGCCCCCTCCTTGAGGTGTTTCTTTCCCTCAGAGCTTGACTAGTTTCCTGGGTCGTGAGCTCCATGATGTGGGGGCATCGTGGGCTTCCTCTTCTTCCTGCATTCAGAGTCCCGCTAAGGAGTTCGGGGAGTAGATGGTAAACCACGGTTTCTAGAAAAAGAAACATCCTAAGGACTGTCTATATAAAATGTTGGGCTCAGATGACCATGTGACTTACCCCACCATGACAAGTACTTGTGAGAGCAAGGGGGAACTGTCACCACTCTCAGTAGACAGCTTGGTTTAAACCATGATGCCCAAGGACACTGAGCTATGGGTCACCCTGTTCAGAGCTGAGAGAAAAAGGAAGTCCGGTTTCTTCACATCACATAAATCGATCCTCATTATTCGCAGATCACATATTTGAGAATTCCCCTACTTGCTAAAACTTACTTGTGACCCAAGAATTTTAGTCATGGCACTTTGTGATCATTGGCAGACGTGCAAAGCACGTGAAAATTTGTCATCCAACATGCATGTTCCCAGTGAGGTCAAAGGAGGCAGGGCTCTGACTTCTTGCTCCGCCCTTAGACCATAAACAAGGGTCCTTTCCACTCCTTAGTGCCATGTTTTTCATATTTTCTTGCCTTTTGCTGGTGATTTCACTGTTTAATGTGGCCCCCAGGGATGGTACTGAAGCATTCTAAGCACAAGAAGGCAGTGATGTGCCTTCCAGAGAGAATGCACGTTAGACGAGCTTCTTCAGCTATGGGTTAGGGTTATGGACACTAGGCTGTGAGACTGGTGTTAACAAAGCAGCAACATACAGACTTGAATTATGTGGGGTTGTGTCCTGATAACATAGAACTTACATTTGAACTTAATATGTCAAAAATATCAAGTCAGTGCTGCATTTAATACTCCAGTTAACCCATCATAAAAATCATTTGGTGGGACATCCTGAGTCAGAGGCTATCTGTATATATTTCAGTAAGGTGCTTTAAACAAACACATAAAAAAGGTCATGTGTTGATGAGTTGATGACATGTGGCCAGAGGCTTGCAGAAACCTAATTGCACTTCTCCAAGAGCCATGCTTAAATCAGTACTTGCTAATTTTACATTCATGCAACTTTATAATTATCCACAGCACCTTATATCATCGCTGTGCATAGCAAGAACTGGGTGTACTTAGGATGATCCAGGGATATGGGCTGCAGAGAGTGTGTCCTGGGGTCTGTTTGCCATCTCTCGGTATGGGGGTCCCTTAGAACCCATACTTGGGGGTGCTAGTGGTTCATTGAGGGGTCTTCTCCTAGAACAGGTCTCCTTGGAAGTGGTAGACTTGCCACGGTGCTATGGCTGTTACACATCTCACGACTGTTCCCATCTCTTCCTGTTGTCCTCAGTTTTCAGAAAGGCACTTTGCGGATGAACTGTCTTGACTGCCTGGACCGAACCAACACCGTGCAGAGCTTCATCGCACTTGAGGTGAGTTTTGGGCCATCTGTGTCATGTCCTGTGCCTTCAGTGGGGCAGTCTGGGCCTTCAGCTGCAAGATGGGGGTGATACCACTGGTGACTTTCCAACAATGGGGTTCTCTGGTTGGCTGCTTGCCTGTGCCACTCTGTGCCTTCTTATGTCATGGTCTCTACCCCACCCTCAGTGCCTGGGACGGAACCCATGTGTGCTAGGCAAACATTCCACCACTGAGCCCCACCCCCAGCCCAACAGGCACACTTCTTCATACGTTTTCCAGGTACATTCCAGACATGGTTGTCCAAAGGCTCCAGACACCCTTGGGAAGTAGTAGTTCTTGATCATGACTATCACGAATACACCACTGGGCCAGGGCACTGTGAGGCTGGATCTGAGGCCTGGGGAGGGACACATCTGTCTGCATGGCCCCAGCTGGCTGGCTGACCTCTCTCAGCTATGTCCTGGGAGGAAGGAGGTGGAGTCCATGCCATCTGTGACTACTACTGCTATCTGTCCAGCCCTCCGGCAGTGGTGGTGGGTGTTTATGTATCTGGGGGTCAGGAGAGATTGGGTGGATCATCTGAATAAAGTTGGAGTTGGGGTGGGGAGCCAAGAGCTTCTTATTCTCTGGAGGGCCCAGAACATCTGCAGTCTGTTGAATAAGGATCTCACAGGGAAGAGGGTGGGGATGGTCCCTCTAGATAGTCAGTGATGGCTGTCCTTTATTTCTTCCCCAGGTCCTTCATCTGCAGCTCGAGAGCCTAGGGCTGAATTCAAAACCCATTGTTGACCGCTTTGTGGAGTCCTTTAAAGCCATGTGGTCTCTGAATGGGCACAGCCTGAGCAAGGTGTTCACGGGCAGTAGGGCCCTGGAAGGGAAGGCCAAGGTAGGAGCCGGCCAGGTGGAGAGGGAGGGGAACCCCATGGACCCCTCTCACACCTGGGTTTTGGCTCACACAGGTCGGGAAGCTGAAAGATGGGGCCCGGTCTGTGTCTCGCACCATCCAGTCCAACTTTTTTGATGGGGTGAAGCAGGAGGCCATCAAGCTGCTGCTAGTTGGAGATGTCTACAATGAGGAGTCAACAGACAAAGGAAGGATGCTCCTGGACAACGCGGCCCTCCTGGGTAATGAGTTCTCACTCTGCCTGCATAGGGGTGTCCATGGCCCTTACGCTGCATCAGAGCAGTTGGCGTTTGTGGGTAAAGTTAACCAGCCCCACTGCCTGCACCATGTAATCCAAGATGGCGGGTGACAGACTCATCCAGAACTTCTGGCCTCTGACCTGTGGTATCTTGATCTGACCAGTTGACCTAAGCATCATATATGTATCTATACACACATGTATACACACATATAAGGTAAAGTCTTTGTATATAACCCGTGGGCATCATACCATATATTTAATCTCTAGATTACTTATACCTGATACAATATAACTGCTATTTAAATACTTGTTACACTGTATCGTTTAAGGGAACATGGCAATTTTAAAGTCCACATGTTTATTGTTTATGCAGTTTTTTTCAAGTATTTTCCATCCATGGATTGAATATGTTGGATAGATCTGATGCGAACCTGTGGTGATAGAGGGTAGTTACTTCCTAGTAGCCTGTGCCTTCTGGTCTCTTCCACTTTCTCAACTGGACTGTGTTCTACATCAAGAGGAGGGAAGGAAATGGCAGGGCTCTGTGCATCTATACTGTTCTGAAGTCAGTGTCTCTAAATTCTAATTCACTCCAGAAACTTCCTCAGTGGCCTGAATGCTTGGTGCCCTTGACAAGTGTCGTGTGGCCCAGGGAGCTTCCTGTGAACCTGGCCTGTCCTCTTCTGGCCCAAAGCCCTATTGAAATAGAGGAGAGGACCCCGTCCATTTGTGGGTGGGGAGGACACATCCAGTTTTGGCAAAACTGACAGAAGTCCATCAATAGCTGGAAGTTCCTTTGGGGAAATTAAAAAGACCTCTTATTCCCTGGAGCCTGGGAAATTTATAGGTCTTACAAAAAAGGGGAGACCCGGCATTTTTTTTCTCATAAAAACGTTTAAGTTTTATTTTGGAAATTCTTGGTGTTTTTGAAAGAGAAGTGCCCACATTCAAAGCGGCTTCCCAAGTGTTTTCTACTCTTACCCTTCTACATTATGGGCCACTTGTTTGGCTCTTGACAGCCAGGGTGATGCTTAGTTTCTGCTCTAGATATCAATCTTCTTGGAAGAAGCTGAGCAAAGCACCAGGTGGCAGAGCACAGGTCATCCAGCAGCAAGACCAACGGGATCGGAATCCAGTCACTAGTGTAAAAACTGGATCTATTTTGGTTCTCTAGAGCATGGAGACATTATGATGGCATGATTTTTTTAATGCCTTAAATTTAAGGTCAAAAGAACAATAAAACAGAGCCTTTCACACACACCTTTCACACACCAGTTATGCAGGATGAAAGGTAGAAAATGCAAAGATGGGGTTTGGGGAAGACATTTCAAGTTATATATGTAAAGATTGATTGATTAATTGTGTGTGTGTGTGTGTGTGTGTGTGTGTACGTACAATTATATGGTACACTGCAGTGTTCCCTTGCTTGAAATCTGTGCCTTGTTCTTCTGTGGGATCATGGATTGAGTGCTGATGAGACTTTTCCCATCGTGTCTGAGATTCCCTGTGACCTGATGTCCCTCTGTGGATCTCATTGGGGAAGGGTGTGGAGGGTGAATTTTTTTGCACTGTGTTGCAGAACAGATAGGGTGTCTTTGGTCTTTCATCCCCTCCCTGGGTAGCATGCGAGGTCCTTGTGTTCAAGCTCTGGAACTGCCTGCTTCTCTGCAGAGAGCCCCTCCTGTAATCCTGGAGGATGCCTGAGGTCTGGGCTGCAGAGAAAGGTGACTTTTCATGCCTCCTAACAGTGACCCCCAGGATCCTAAGAGCTATGACAGAACGTCAGTCAGAATTCACCAACTTCAAGCGGATCCAAGTCGCCGTGGGGACCTGGAACGTGAATGGAGGGAAGCAGTTTCGCAGCAACCTCCTGGGGACAGCAGAGCTCACAGACTGGCTGCTGGACGCGCCCCAGCTCTCCGGGGCTGCCGACATCCAGGGTGAGGCATTCCACGGAACCTGCCATGTCAGGCTGGACTTTTTAAATAGCCGTTGCCTGGGAGAAATTGTTATTTGCCTTTTTCACTTTTAAGATGTTTGAAAGCACCTTCTAGGATATTGCCTAGCAAATTAACCATGTGACCCCTTTCCCTACTGACTGGGGAGTTATCACGGTAGGTCTCTCTTCTCTTCATGTGCAAAGATGTCTTAGGTTTCAGTCATTAGAATTTTGTCAGGAGATGGGGCCTCTAGGGTAGTGCTGCTGTTGGGAGCTGCTAGAGCCAGACCTGCACTTGATGTTGCTGCTGCCTGAAAATAAATGTCTCATCCCTGCCTTTCCCCCAGCCAACTCGAGGTTGGGCATCCCCAATCTAAAACCTGAAATAAAAATACTCCGATATTTGAAACTTTGAGCACCGACGAGACATCAAGTAGAAACTTCCACTCCTGTGATGGGTCACAGTTAAAACATAGCTGCACTAAAAATGTATAAAATTGCCTTCAGGTTAGGAAACAAGGTGTATGTAAAACAAATGAGCCAGTCACAGAGGTGCACGCCTGTAATCCCAGCAACTCAGAGACTGAAGCAGGAGGATCACAAGTTCAAGGCCAGCCTCAGCAACAGTGAGATCCCATCTCAAAATAAAAAGTAAAAGGGGCTGGAGGTAGAACTCAGTAGTAGAGCACCCCTGGGTTCAATCCCCAGTACCAACAAAAAAAATAAATGTATAAAATAAAATGAATGAATTTCATGTTTACGCTTGGGTCGCATCCCTAAGATACCTCATTATGCATGTGGAAATATTCCAGAATCTAAAATCTGAAGCACTTTGGCTTCAACTAATTCAGATAAGTAATCCTCTGCCTGCAATATCCATCCACTTTTAAGTAATTATGAATTTGTGTACTTTTTGAGAATAAAATAATTCCAAACTTGACAAATTATCTATCATGCAAGATCCTATTAAGTGCCCTCAAAACTCAAGGTTTGAAGACTTAAATGACTTTTGACCAATCACTGTTAACTCAGGGGCCTTGCTTATTTCCACATCCTTGGACTTGGAAAGAGGCTCCTGACCAGGTCTTTGCCTGGGATGACCTGTCCTTATGTACATCCCGTCCTGCCATTCACACCCTCTTGTCTGCCTGGGAGCAAGTGTCCACAGTCAGGGCCCCTGGATTCTCTTATTGGGGGTGGCCCATATTGGCACAGGTGGTGTGTCCAGAAGCCATCTGAACTCCACAGGACAGCCTGGCAAGTGCTGGGGCTGGTCAGCCCTACCTTGCTGAGAAAAGCCCCTTCCTGGTACCACAGCAACCCTCCTCCTGCCTGGAGGACACGTGGGTAGTTACAGCAAGTTGGTGGTTGCTTTGCCAGGATATTTTATTGAGGTGGACAGTAGTGGGCCCATTGGAAAGCCACCAAGTTCAGGAGAAGGATGGAGCTGAACTTCTGTTGCTAGCCAGGTCAAAGGATAGGTGGTGTTTCCTTTTAAAAAGAGAAAACAGCAGCAGTAGCAGCTTCATGTTTTACACCAGCTCAGCTGGAAGTGCCAGTGCTCATGGGGCTGCAGAGCAGGAAGTGGGGAGCCTGTTGGCCTCTTCCAGTAGAGGCCACTTCCTCCTGCAGGAGCCCTGGCAGAGGCGCCTCACGCTCTGCAGCAGGAACCGTGTCTGGGTTTGATGGCTTCAGTACCTGAGTACCAGAGGGCGTGACTGGGGAGCGTCAGTGAATGCAAGCATCAGTGTAAGCCAGGGTTTCTGTGGCAGGTCCCGTCAGAATGGTTCCCAAGCAGCACAGCACCCACCTCGGGCTAGACCCAAATAATGGTCCCCGTGGAAGGGACCATGTTGGTCACGCATTAGCTGGGTGATGCTGTGCCCAGTGCTATGAAAGTACTTGGGAAGCACAAACTAAACATGAGGCAGTGTGACCCCTCAGCCACTTCAGGGTCTGGCTTGGAGGGCGTGCCCTCGACACTTAGCAGGAGGGTCAGGTATTTTACTGAAGTTATTTGATTTACTCTTAATAACATCTGGTCACTTTTGTTGAGAAAGAAACAGGTTCAGAGAGATTGGTGCCACACCCTGGGACATACATAAGGAAGGGCCACGTGTGATGTGGGCTAGAAGCACAGAGGAGGGGAGAGTGGGTTCTAGAGGCTGGTGCCCCAGAAGGGTCGGGTGAGTGGGCCCCTGCAGTAGGTGGTGTGGCCCTGAGGAGGGAAATGGGAAGCCTCGTGAACCAGGAAAGCAGGACCTGGTGGTTCTCATTTCCTTCATTTCCTGCCTTGTCCCCAGATGACAGCAGCCCTACTGACGTGTATGCCGTGGGGTTTGAAGAGATGGTGGAGCTGAGTGCAGGGAATATTGTCAATGCCAGGTAAGGGTTGCGTGTGGGGGGCAGGGTAACCCTGAGCCAGGTGTCTGGTGGGGAGCAGAGCCCCAAGGTCTTCTAGGGCCAGCCTGTGACCTCGACTGTGTGGTAACTTCTGGCTAGACTCCTTTTCTACACTCGCACAGGTGCACTACCCCCTGCCTCCATCCCTACTGAGTAAGTAAAGGGAAGGAAGGGCTGGTGTCACTGTGTTTTCTGAGGTGCTCCTGGGCTCTGTGGTGAAGCGATTCACACAGCCTGGGAGCCACGTGGGTGAGCCTAGAGGGCAGGGCAGGGAGGGCAGCTGATTCACATTTTCTGGGGAGAGATGAGAAAGTGTGAGTGTCAGGAGGAGGTACTCTGTGCCAGGCACAAAGGAAGGGCCCCAGACTGCTGGATTAGCATTTGGCATAGAGCAGTTAGAATCCCCCCCTCCCCCCGTGCCCCCGCCCCCAAACAAAGGACCTGATTATATTTCAAGTAACTATCTAAACAAATAAACCAACACTGTGGAGCTCTCATGAGAAGGTCCTGGGCTGGGTGTTGGGTTGAGGAAGGTGCCACTGTGATGTGTAAGGCACAATTGAAAATATAGAGCTAGTCCCCCGGTGGAAGCCAGGCCCGACACCACACGGGGTTGGTAGGTGGGAGATGCACTTCGGCTCACCCTGAAGAGCAAGCACCCTTCCTTTCTTTTCTTCCCCAGTACCACCAACAGGAAGATGTGGGGCGAGCAGCTGCAGAAAGCCATCTCACGCTCGCATAGGTACATTCTCTTGACCTCGGCACAGCTAGTGGGCGTCTGTCTGTATATCTTTGTACGTCCGTACCATGTTCCGTTCATCAGGTAAGAACACCTATAAACACCCGGGGACTGAGGGGCTGTGAGTCTGGGGGTCTTGTTCTGTGATTTCCTCTGCCCTCCCTGGGTCCTTCCACAGCAGGAATCAGGACCTGCCATAGCTGGATAAATGGAAGGCCCCGAGGAAAAAGCTGAATAGGATATTGTCTAGCAATTAAAAAGCCTCAAGAGGAAACTCCCAGCTCAGGAAGCTGCCCTCTTAGGAGGAGCCGCACCGCCCAGAATCAGTGCTGGGCTAGGAAGGGGTTTCTTGTTGGCATTTTACTGACAGGAAACGTCTGAGCAAGGGCTGAGTAACTCCTCAGGAAATGCCAAGCCTTTGGTCTCTTTTTGAATGAATTCTGAGTGGAATCTGTCTCACCTCCTTTGTAAGACAGGAGGGTCTGTGTTGGTTCTTTGTCTTGTGATTCGATGAATGAGATCCATGGACACAAAGGGGAGAGCAAGATAACAGGATTAATTAAAGGAATAGAAACAAAGCAGAGCTCCGCAGTGGGAGGGCTCCCAAGGAGGGTGGCCACCAGTGTCTGGTGTCAGTCTAGAGGTTTACATGATAAGGTTAGAGGGAGCTAGGTGGCCTTGAAGACATAGGCTAGAGATTTTAAAAACAGTGGGTCTTTGAGTCCAGGCACACAGGATGTGTCCCCCGTCCAATTGGGACGTTGACCATGTCCTGCTGGTCATGAGCTGACTACTCCATTTTGTAAACTCCTGGGTGGAAGTTTAAACCTGTCTTTAACACATTTCTGTCTCCTGCTCTCATTATTATTTCTCCAGAGTGACAGCTTTGTGGTGTAAGAAGGGCAAGGGCTTAGGCGAGGCATCTCCTTTAGGAAAGGCCCCCTCGGCTCTGGGCAGCCTCCCGCGGCTGCCTGGACTCCTTCGTGGCGTTAGGATTTCCTGCAGCCCTTCTAGTTGCTGACACCAGGCAGCTAGCGGGCCTTCATCCTAAGTCAAGTGGGACAGAGTCGGGTGTGGTGGCACACACCTGAAATCCCAGCACCTCGGGAGGCTGAGGCAGGAGGGTTGTAAGTCCACAGCCAGCCTCAGTGATTAAGTGAGACCCTCATCAACTTAGTGAGACCCTGTCTCAAAATAAGAAACCATACATAAAAAACGAAAAGGGATGGGGATGTAGCTGAGGTAAAGTGCTCCTGGGTTTCACACCCAGTCCCCCAAATGGTTCAGCAACTAAAGTGGGATGAGACCCAGTCAGGCTCCTCTGGGTGGAGGACCATGGGTACTCCCTGTGGTGGCCCTGGAAGAACAAGGCTGGCTCTGTATTCATAATTCCCTTTGGAGAACTTCAGGAAATGTTTCAAGTCCCTGCCCTTCTGAGAGTGTTACGGGGGCAGTTTGGCCGTATCCCAAGTTCATAGGAAAAGGCTAATAAAGGAAAGTTCAGGGTGAAGACTAGCGATCAACCATGAGTCGGGAACAGGGTAGAGGACTTGCTGACCTCCTTGACCCTGCTTGAGCTCCCCCCACTTGCCTCCTCAGTCTCCTGCCCTTGGCCTCAGGCCTGTCCGCTCACACCCCTGTCCCTTCCCGCTGCCTCCCAGGTAGGGGTGCACCAGTAGGCCCCCATCCGTGGCATGGTGGTGGAGACGTCACGCTCTTGGCTTGGGGTCTGTGGTTCTAGGTCCTGCAAGCCCACTCGTGTGACACTGAGTTGGCCTTGTAACGCAAGCCAGAGCCTGTGTGTGTGGGGAAGCCAGTTTGCCACCACCTTCCGGGCCGGCCTGAAGGACTAGCTGTTTCTGTGTTCTCGAGACACATCAAGAGCCCAGAGGAGTCCTCCTGTGCTTCACATGAGAACTGCGTGGGGCGGGGGGGTGGGGGGCTGGGAGACAGAGCCGGGGCAGATGCAGGGGTGCTGTCTGCCGCCCACGGGGTGCTTGTGGAGTACGGAGCTCCTCTGAGCCCAGCCAGGGCGAAGGTGCTCCACAGCCCACCGGCACTGAGAGGGAGCGGCCTCCTGGCCGTGGAGTCAGTGATGGCCGCTGGTTGCTGCGTTCTTGGCTTCAGAGGATGTGATGAAGACCTCTGAGCCGTGGTTCAGAGCAGGGGCCTCACGCAGGCTCTTCTCTGGCCAAACAGGCTTACACTTTTCAAGGCCAATGGAAGGTGCTTGCTCTTCTATTGCAGGGACGTGGCCATCGACACGGTGAAGACTGGCATGGGGGGAAAGGCAGGGAACAAGGGTGCCGTGGGCATCCGCTTCCAGTTCCACAGCACCAGCTTCTGCTTCATCTGCAGCCACTTGACAGCTGGGCAGTCACAGGTGAAGGAGAGGAACGAGGACTACAGGGAGATCACCCACAAACTCTCCTTCCCTGCGGTGAGTGGTGGACTGGCAGGGGGGCTTTCCTGCTCTGTTTGCCATGTGTGGCTTTCTGAGCTGCCGACAGGAGCCTGGCAAGAGGGGTACAACCACAGGGAGCATCCCTGACCCAGGGCTTAATACTGGGGGAGGGAGATGAACACGGGGGATAGTGTGATAGAGGGACACCCAAGGAGCCCAGCTCTGCAGTGTCCCGTCACTTCCTTCTCTATTTCCTGGACATTTAGATAGCCTAGATTTCCTTAGGTGCATTTTCCAGTGTTCTACCTCGGGTGATGGAAAGGGGAAGGAAAACCAGTGTGTCCATGCTTGGTTCAAGTTTGTGAAGAACATTTGAATCCAAACAATTTAAGATTTAGTTTCCTTGAGGCTGGGGATGTAGCTCAGTGGTAGTGTGTGCTTAGCTCGCATGAGGCCCTAGGTCTAGTAGCAAAAAGAAAAGAAATTGTGTTTTTGAGATCTACAGTCATCTTCTGTTACTGGATTAAGAACTTCCTTTTCCAAATCCAGGAAATCATTACCGAGGAATCATAACACTGGCCCTGAGGTTGCCAATAATGCACTGTCCTCTAGTGGTGGGCCAGAGGGTTTATGCTGAAGCTGGAGACTGTGTGTGTGTGTGTGTGTGTGTGTGTGTGTGTGTGTGTTTTGCTGGAGATTGAACCTAGGGGTCAGCACACTACGCAAAAGCTCTACCGCTAAACTACATCCCCATTCCTGGACTTTATGTTCAAATTTTCATGTTTTCCCTCCCACACTCCCCTTTATTCTGGTGCATATACAGCCCCCCCTATTCCCTAAAGGGAGGGCACATTTCAGCTGTTGCCATGGATTTTTCCAGCATCTGAGAGAGGCTAGGTGGGTCTTAGAGCTCTTCTCTACAAGAACAGATCCCCTAAAACTGGCATCTTATTGACTGGGCTGCCCAAATATGCAAAGCAAAAATTCCTTTAATTTCTGAGTTAAAGAAGAAACAAAACAAGTTGGGGTGTGTGTGGCGGGAGGGTTAAAAAAAAATTCCAGGGCTGAGGACATAGCTCAGCAGAAGAGCATGTACCTAATATGTGCAAAGCCCTGTTTCCAGCAATGCAAAAAAAATTTTAAAAAAAGGTCCAACCCATCTCACTTGTAAAGTACCATTTCGAAACAGTATATTTGGGACACATTCCAAATAATAAGAGTTTATAATATGGCTCTTTCTCCCCCTTAACAATAGAAATACTGAGGGTATATATAAGTTAACTCTGTGTACTGCTGGTACCCAATACCATAGTCACTGGCCACAATAACTATTTAAATTAATATCACTTGCACTGACCACATTGAAAATGCTCAATGTGCACTGGCCTGTAGCCAGTGTTCCAGCATTAGACAGCTCCAGAGAGAATGTTTCCATCACTGCAGAAAGTTCCGTTGCACAGGGCCATCTAGACACTCGTTTTATTTGGTTGTGATCATCTTAACCTTCTGTTCAGGCGATCGCTATGGGGTGGGAGGAGCAGGAACACCACATAGTGGGAGAACAGAAATGAATTTTAGAGCGAGGCAGATCTGGGTTCCAGTCTCCTCTTTACCATGTGTTAGCTGAATTTTTTAAGTCTAAAAGATCCAGTGGAACCTGCTGCACAGGGGCTGCTGCGGGGACGAGGTACACCGGAACAGAGCCCAGCCCTTGTAGACAGCTGTTGCACAGCAGCTGCCATCATTTTGACCGGGGAAGGGCTCCAGGGCTGAGCTGGAGACTGCAGGCCACGGGACATGACTCGGGGAGGATGTGCTGAGGGGCAGGAAGAGCGGAGAGCCCCAAGGTGTGGTTTGTGGGGTTTTAGAAGCCACACTCTTGACACCTCCACTAGTTCCTTTCATCTTGTCATGACGCTGACGTTTGGCCAATGCTTCTGTGGTGCAGACAACAGGAGCAGGGCCTGATCCCCAGGACTGCACTTGACAGTTGTGCTTCCTGTTGAGGCTGGAGCTTTGTCTAAACACTCAAGCACTGTTACTGCAAAGAAAAAAGCGAGGCATGTATAATCCTCAGTAGGTTCATGGGATTGGTCAAAGTGAAAGGCTCTAGTGGAAAACTCAAGAGTAACCATCTAAAGAAAAGAGCTTCTGCTCGTCCCCATTCCCTCCCCTCCACCTTCCTCAAGGATGGGAGACAACGATGATGATTTTCTTTACAATTTAGGGGAGAAATGTTTTTTCTCACGATTATGTGTTTTGGTGTGGCGATTTCAACTACCGGATTGATCTCACTTATGAAGAAGTCTTCTATTTTGTTAAACGCCAAGACTGGAAGAAACTTCTGGAATTTGATCAGCTACACCTGCAGAAATCAAGTGGAAAAGTAAGTTGTGACTTTAAGGTCTTTTTTGGCAGCTGTTCTGATGGGAATAATATCTTTGTTCCAACATGGAATCCTAAATGCCTGCACTGATAATATTCAGCAAATTAAGTTCTACGAGTGGGTTTAATGGTGTTTCTGATACTGTAGAAAACACATGGGGCTTAGGAAATTAGGGAAACAGGAGCATCCATTCACACACACTCTGTCTCTCTTGAATGAGCTTTGGCTGGCCACACACACAGTCCTGTGTCTTCTCAAACCCCAAGGTTCTTCTGTAGAAGAGCCTCCTGAGTGCATTTAACCCAGTGGTAGAAGGTCCGACTGCAAGTCTCCTCTTCCCTCCTTTACCTTTGCCAATTTTAGGGACCTTTTAGGCCATGGCATAAGTAGAAAAGAAATAGCTAGAAAACCTGTCATTGGTTCTTCCAGATATCCCAAATCTATCTTCTCCAGAGAATGCTGTTTCCTATTCCTGTGTCTGTTAGCTCCCTAGCTGGATAGGCGGAGAGGAGGAAATACGTCTGAATGCCACTGGCCTTTTGAGAGTGAAGCTGGTGAAGTATGTGGGGAGAGGGCAGCTAAGGCCTCTCTCCAAAAGCAAGACTCGGCACTCTTTGTGGTTTGCTCTGTCTTCTCGCCTAGGGCGCTGTCAGTGAGTGGATTGCTGAGGGTGGATGAGTGGCCACCCCAGACTTCCTTGACAAGGTTTTCTTTTCCTTCCTCCTACGTATTCTCATTCCTTCCCCTCTGCACTTGAGGGAGGGAGGGAGGGAGGGAGTGCTGCTCTGGGGCCTTCCCAGGGCACAAGGCCAGATCCAGAGCTTAACAGAGAGGGAAGCTGGGCTCTCTCAGTGCTTCTGTGGGCTCAGTCCATTTACTTAACAAGCACCAACTGGCGCAGGCCTTGTGAGGCGCGGGTCTGGAGATGTGCAGATGCACACACAAACCCTGTGCTCTTCTCCTGACTCTTGGGGGGTGAGAGCAGGCCTGGCTGGAGGGTACAAGGGAGGGAAGCAAAGGTAGCATGACGGTGTGTCCGCCGGAAGATGAATAGAGGATTGCATTTCAGCCACCTGAAAAGCACACTAATGTCTAGTGTAAGACAAATTTGCAAATATGACAGATTGTTAGTTTTTAGGACTAGAACATTCTGGAATGTGCATTTTTTTTTCACTGAAAGGTGGTCTTGTTTTTTTTTTTCTCCCAATAGATTTTTAAAGACTTCCACGAAGGAGCAATTAACTTTGGACCCACCTATAAGTACGATGTGGGCTCTGCTGCCTATGATACCAGTGACAAATGCCGCACCCCGGCCTGGACAGACAGGGTACTGTGGTGGAGGAAGAAGCGTCCTTTTGATAAAACAGGTGAGTAGGATGTGCACATTCAAGAGCCAGTGGGGGTGGGGTCAGACAATAAACACTGTAAAGGAAAAAAATGCATTCACTCAGCCAGCATTCCACTGCTTGCAAATCACATGTTTTTCGATAACCCAAATGACAAAAAAAATCATCCCAGAATGATTTTTGGAAGCCGAGCTTTAGGGAGCCCCCTTCTGGCCTCTTTCTGGAGATAGTGACCTGTGAAAAGGTCTGTCCTGGTCTCCCCATCCCTCCTTCTGCCTGCGCTCTGCCTGATGTCTTGGGAAAGGAGGAGGGGGAAGTATCAGGGCCCTCTCCCCTCCCCACGCCCTCCCTCAGGCCCTTTGCCCGGCCCATTTTGTTTGACCAAGCTCTTTTCTCCTTAAAGCCTCTATTCCAAATTGAACGCGAGCAAGACACAATAAAAATGAGAGTGTTTTTTTAAATCAATCAGTTGCCAAGTATGTTTTGAACAGTTAATTACTACCCAACTGGGAATTGAAGTTTACTTGAAGTTAGAGCGCCTGTAAACAACTCCACATTTTGGGAGAGATGTTTGCTGAGCTTTCAAGGCCAGGAAATCACGTTCCGATAAAAAAGATAAATATTCCTTCAGTTAAGTTTATGAACATCCGTTTGGCCCCAGGGCACTGAGGCTGTCTAGAGTGAATCCTGGCTCCTTGGTCTCCATGCCTCTATATGAATGGCTGCAGGTCACCTGTAATTCCAGGGCCCTGGCAGGAGTTGGGGGGACTGGGCAGCAGGGATGGCTGCACCCCACGCTTACAGTTAACCTACCTGGGAGGGTGGTAGGTGGCTATGGTCATTACTGTTCAGGATAACCTGCATGTGAGGAACTTCTTTAACCTCAGGGCCCCAAACACCCTGAACCCAGGTTCAAGTTCAAGGGGATAAAGTGAATGAGCCTGAGCTTTGAGGTGGTTTGAGACGGAGAATCCTGCTACAGGTGTTTGTAATTGCATTCATGTATAGTGATATGATTCTGTGTTACATGTGGGCCTCTTGAATGGACCCCCCTGGGAGTAGCTGGAGAACTCAATCTTCTAGACAATGATCTAGATGGAGACACCAAAGTCAGACACACCTGGTCTCCCGGGACCCTCAGGTACTATGGCCGAGCTGAGCTACAAGCATCTGATCACAGGTACGCTCTCACAGGAGAAGGTAGTGTTTCCTCCCCAGGGGGAGCAGACATGCTCTCCCCCTAAAGGTACGCATGCGTGTGTGTGTGTGTGTGTGTGTGTGTGTGTGTGAGAGAGAGCGCGCGAGCAAGCGAGCGCGCAGGCATATGGGGAGAGTGAGAGTGTGTGCATGTGTGTAAAATACACTAAAGAACAAAAAATAAAACAAATACCACTGAGAATTAATAACTGGCAGCATTATTGCCATTGCTCTATATCATAAATGACACTATTTATGAAAGTCTCAAAGACACAACCTGTTCTATCTCATGGCTTTTAATTGCTCTTAACTGATGTTGCTGAAAATCTTACTTGCTTGTCACTATTTCCAAGATACAGCCATCTAGGCTCATTTTGAGTGCTGCCCAGAATTCTACTAGCCAGATGCATAGAATTTAGACTTTCACCTATTAAAGGATAGTTTTCCTAGTGATTTATTTGTTTATTTATATTTGGTGCCAGGGATTGAACACAGAGGTTACTTAACCACTGAGCCACATCTCCAGTTTTTTGTTGTGTTTTTTTTTTTTTATTATTTTAGGGCCTCACTAAGTTGCTGAGGCTGGTTTTGAACTTGTAATCCTCCTGCCTCAGCCTCCTTAGCTGCTGGGATTACAAGCGTGCACCACCACATCTGGCTTTTTCTAGTATTTTGTTATTACAGACATCACAGGGTTTTTACGTCTTGGATCCAGAGCTACTAGGTCCTCTGAGCGTTGCTTGGCCTCAGGCACCTTGAACTCTGTTCGGAAGTCAGCAGCAGATGGCAGGGAGGGCAGTGGTCTGGTGGCAGCAGCTCGGGGAGATTAGCCTTGTGGAAGATCTTGCGAGAGGCAGCAAAGTGTGGCCTTTGAGGGTTGGCAAGGAGTAATTTGATCTTCCCATAGCTGCTACCAAAATTATTTTATTGATTTCAACTTTGAGGAAAGAAATGAAGAAAGAGAAGGTGTGGTGAGCCAGTAGATCTACATCTTTAGATACTTCAGAATTCTTTAAATCCTGATACTACCTACAGCCCTAGACACAAATCTTGAAAATCTTCAGATGTATGACTTGGGTTCGCTAGTTGAGGAGTGGATCTAGAAACCTTCACCTAACCACCATTTATTGAGGGGTCTTATGTGCCAGACCTTGTTCCTGGCATTAGGGTTAAGTAATAAACAAAGATTCATGGAATTCTCTACAGGGACAAACCTAAGTGCAAGGAAGAATACCGTAGGGTCAGGCCAGGCTCAGTGTGTCTTCTACCCACCATCCAAGGAAGGCCTCGTAGCAGAGACCTGACGGAAATGAGGGCATGAGCTCTGTGGATGTCTGAGGGAGAGCACTCCTGGGGCACCTGCCTGGCAGCACCAAGAGTCCAGGATAATAGAGGCGGGGCAGAGCGTGACGGAAAGAACCGCAGGGATGAGACGGGCCAGAAAACCAAGCCTGTGGAGCCCTGTGGGTGGGCCATGCCTGAGCTGCAGAGGGCATCACCTGACACAGATCTGGTTATCAGCCCAGCAGACTCGGGGGGGGGGGGGCAGAGAACCTGTGGTGGCTTTGGACTGGTGGTGGCTGTGGTGAGGTTCTCTGGAGGGCTCTCTGATGGCTGCATGTGTGGAGAATGAGTTCATTCCTTGTCATTGCTGCATGAATGAATCCACCTGCCCCCTGTGGCTCCTGCTGTCACCCAGTCACGCCCTGGTGACTCACGCATGCATGGGCTCCTCCAGGAAGGGTTTCTCCTAATGTGTTTTAAAAATCACTCACTTAGTCATGTCCCTGTGTGACAGTTTCTCAGTCAGATTTTTTCCTGATTCCAGATGCAAAAAAAAAATCATCATAATGATAACACATAGTAATATAAATTTGGGAGGACAGGATAATATTGCCCCCACTGTATCTCTTAATTTTTGTAGTTTTCTCTGGTTTTAAAGGTTGCCACTTTATTATCACAATTTTATTTTTGGAGATGGGGTCCCACTATGCTACCCAGGCTAGTCTTGAACTCCTGGACTCAAGTGACCTCCCACTTCAGCCTCCCCTGTAGCTGGGACTGGACTGTGTGCCACCGTGCCAGCTTTTCTGTTGTGGTGCTAAGGATCAAACCTCACGTGTGGTAGGCAAGTGCTCCAGTCCTGAGCTACTCCCCGAGCCCTGCCGCTTTCTTCTATCCTAGTCCATAATTTAATTTCTACTTAATATCATATTATAAGTCTTCAATAAGATTACTTAGGGATTTTCTTCATTATAAGGGATTTTCTTAATTTTTGTAAATAGAGTGACACCTGTCCCTGTGTTGGAATCACAGCAGTGCTGTGTTCTTTCCTGCGTGTCGGGTGGTTGTGTCTCTTTCGGTGACTGTGGACCATTTCCCATTAGGGCATGGTAGAGGGCTTTCCTCCCTCCCTCCTGTCAAGGATGCTGTAAACGGTCAACCTTGTACATAAACCTTTGTCTGCCTCTCTGGTCATTTCCTTAGAATAAAGTCCTACAAAGTCAATTGCTAAGTCAAAAGACATGAATGGTTTTGAGATCTGTGACACAAATTGCCAGCTAGTCCTGTGAAAAGCCGGCACCCCCACCACGTGCACCCCCACCCACCCCTCCCTCTCCCTGGCAGCACCAAGGACTGTCAGGGGAGGAGTCCTGGCTGATGACTGGTGGTTTTCTAAGTTCTGGGTCATGTTCTCAGGGCACTGTGGTATTTCTTTCCTCTCTCAGATCATACTTAGAAATGCCAGGAGATGATATGAAGATGGGGGAGAGATGAAGACTAAGTGCTAGGGTGCAGCCGCCTGCGGATCTGTAGGCTGATGTCACAGTTGGTGGCAGAGCTCTGGGGGACCGGGCCCAGGCCTAGCACTGGGCAGTACCTGCCCCGGGCTAACCATTCTCGCCCTCTTCCCTTCCTGTCTGACGCAGACCCGTGCTGGCCATCGTGGAGGTGGAAGTACAAGAAGTCGACGTGGGTGCTCGGGAGAGGGTTTTCCAGGAAGTGTCCTCTTTCCAGGGCCCCCTGGACGCCACCGTTGTTGTAAACCTTCAGTCGCCAACCCTAGAAGAGAAAAGCGAGTTTCCCGAGGACCTGCGGGCTGAACTCATGCAGACCTTGGGGAACTTTGGGACAATTGTGCTCGTCAGGTAGCCACTGCCCTCAGACATGGGCTCCGGGCTGTGGGAGGATCTGGGAGGGCTGCCAGGTGGTTCCAGGCTGTGACTAGGCTTCTCTCACATACTCCAGGATCAACCAAGGACAGATGCTGGTGACATTTGCAGACAGTCACTCAGCCCTCAGCGTCCTGGATGTGGATGGCATGAAGGTAAGTGGCACTGGGTCACACCATGGAGCAGGCCTGACTGATCTCACTTCTACATGGCTGTGTCTTCCCTTCCTCGGGCCTGGCTCATGCTGAACCTGTGGGGACCTGTGCCTGTGTGTAGGTGCCACACGGAGAAGGAGCTAGGATTGGTTGTGGTTCTCGGGTGTTATGGGACAGTCCTGGCTACTTGCAGAATCTGGCTGCCACTGAACTCTTAGTGTATTTCCCTGCCTCTGTGCAGGAGAGATTCCTTCTCTTCAGTATGTGTTTTGGGACATGTGGCTCATAGGTAGTTTCCATTTTAATAAATTCTGGTTTTAAACTTGCATGGAATGAAAAGCTGGTGATGATGGGCAAACTTTTATTCAGACCAAATGTGAAAACTGTGCTGATTCCACCTGGAGCCTGGGCCCCTGTTTTTTCTTAGCCAAACATGAAGATCGGCCTGTGCCCGGTGCACAGGTGGGAAAGGGGCACCCTGGTCACAGGCTCTGCTGTGACTTTGGTATTTCTTTTCACTTACCATGCTGTCCTCACAGGTGAAAGGCAGAGCGGTGAAGATTAGACCGAAGACAAAGGACTGGCTGAAAGGTTTGCGAGAGGAGCTCATTCGAAAACGGGACAGCATGGCTCCTGTGTCCCCCACTGCCAATTCCTGTTTGCTGGAGGAAAACTTCGACTTCACGAGCCTAGACTATGAATCAGAAGGTCAGTGACCCTTTGAGGAGGGGCAGGCTAGTGTTGCTCCTATTTGGAAGGGTTATGGAGGACATTTGAAGTGTGAGTATCACATCCATGTGATCCACTGTTCGTGTCTGGGGATGATACAGGAAATGGTAAAGGGACCCAGAGACATTTGGACTTACACCATGCTGCAGCCAGGTGTGGTGACACACACCTATAATCCCATGACCCGGGAGGCTGAATGAGGATTATGAGTTCAAAGCCAGACTCAGCAACTTAGTGAGGCCCTAAGTAACTTTGCAAGACCCTGACTCAAAATAAATAATACAAGGGATTGGGGATGTAACTCAGTGGTAAAAGTGCCCTTGAGTTCAATCCCCAGTACCAAATAAAATAGAAAAAAGAAAAAAAAAATTAGCTTTGACACTATTGGGGTTGTGGGTGCAAGTGGAAGTGGGAGCCAGGGAGGCGAGACCCCGGCTGCAGGAGGTGGGCTGCATCCTGGTGCAAGCCAGAAGACCCACTGACCAGAGGCTAGGCCCTTGCGCCGGACTGTTTTTACCTCACTGTGGGCCAATCCTCCTCCCAGGGGATGTTCTCGAAGATGATGAAGACTATTTGGTGGATGAGCTCGTACAGCCTGTGGTCTCAGACAGTGAGCTGGGGGGAGACGACCCTCCTGATGCCCCCAGCACTACAGCGGTGGCACCTGCCAGCAAGTCTCCAGCACTAACCAAAAAGCAGCACCCGACGTACAAAGGTAGCTCAGCCTCCTTCCTCATGTGGGAGGAGACCGTGTCGCCCTGTCTCGCAGCAGGCAGTGCTAGGTAGTGCCAGCAATCCTGTGCAGTCCTGGCAGAGGCCCAGGAAGGCAGAGAGTGTAGCACTGTACTCTGGGCAGGAATCCAGTAGCCTCATGCTGATTTCCTCTAGGTATTTAATTTTTTACAGCTTGTACTCCTGTAACACCAGGTTCAGGGTAATGCCTATTTCCTCTGTAATTCCCGTTTCCCAGTTCTCAAGTGTGGTTACATTTGTGATTTTTTTCATCCTGAAACTTTTGTAATTCAATCCTTCAAGAGAGAGACTTAATATCTACAACTTGACATATTGTTCCATTCACATAATATGATATTTTATACAGCCATATTATATAGCAACAGCATTATGTCATCTTAGACTTAGGGGAACTAAAAGGTCACTGGATGGAACTGCATACCCTGGATTCAATTGTAGAGTAATTCTTTTTTTTTTTTTTAATTCACTTATTTGTATGTGGTGCTGAGGGTTGAACCCAGGAGCTTGCACGTGCAAGGCAAGCGCTCTACCTCTGAGCCACAACCCCAGCCCTTCAGAGTAATTCTTTTGAATAAGTTTTAAAGCCAGCTGGTGTTACGTGGCTGGCGAGTAGGGTAGTTCATATTTCTGCATTAGACCAGATTAAGTCTATTCCATCCTGAAGGTGTCCGAAACACATTCAGTGTCAGTCACCGTGTCCCTACTTGGACAGCTCTAACTTGGCCATGTGTTGGGCCCCTTGAACTGGGCCCAGGAACAGAAAACAGGGCTGAAATTGAATTAAGGTACCTCCTAGGGAAGTGCCTTGCCAGGAAATGCAAAGACCCCCGTGTTCCCAAATGACAATGCTTCCCAAACTGAACAGTGGCTTGCCTCCTGGGAACCACAGGAGCTTTTAAAGTTAGAGACTGCTGAGCCCCACCGTAGAGATTTGGATGGGATCCTGGAAATCTGGCATTTTGTGACATTCCCTCAGTGGGTGGGATGCATGGCTAAGTCCAGCAGATGCTGCCCGACACAGAGGCAGCAGCTTTTGTCCCACTCACGGTGACTGTGCGCACTGCTCATGCAGAGAGGCTGCTACCCTGGCATGGAAGCGGGTGCGGGAATGTGCTCTTCAGAAGAGGTGGCCTCTTACCAGGAGCAGCTGTTATTTGGGCAGCCCCTGGGGGCCAGGCCAGGAGTGAACACAGTTGCCTCTGAATGAAGAAATTAATAGAGCAAAAGGACCCTGGGCAGCCTGGCCCCTGGTGAGCACCAGGTGGGCATGTCCGAAACCGCAGGTATTCAGCCATTCCGCTGGAACCTGTTTTACTCCATTTTCGGCCTCAGATGCACGGGCTTGAGCTGTTGGGTTTGAGGGACAGGGTGTCTGAGCCAAAGATGAAATATAAGGGGCTATGTCATGGTGTAGGAGAAAAGACCTGTAAGTGGGTTTATGTCATGAGCCAGAGGCAGCCACCTCCACAGGCCCCTCTTGGCTTCTCGGAAGGGATGTGAGGCCAGTCAAGATGGCTGACACTCATGAGGTGGCAGCCCAGGCTCTGGCCACCAGGCTGGCAGAGAAAGGGAAATGCTCTCAGCCTCCAAAACAGTGATCACTTTTTAGTGAGGGATGAAAACTTTCCTTCCTCTGTGTGGAATTCTGGCTGATTGTTTTAGAAGGAAACAGGCCTACTCTTTAAAATTTGTTAATGTCTCTCAAATCTGGAAAACAAACTGTCCAGGATTGACTGGGTGTTCCAAGAGGGCACTGATGCATCTGCCCATCAGGAAGGGGTGCCATTCCTGCACAGGCCCTCCATTGTCCTGGGTAGCTCTGCCTGCCACGGGTGGCCTCTGTGCACAGGCTCTTGTCTGACCATTTACACCTGCCATATCCTTCAGACGATGCTGACCTGGTGGAGTTAGAGCAGGAGCTGGGAGCCATCGGAGATTTCCGCCACCGTTCTCCAAGCAGGTCTCTGTCAGTTCCCAGTAGGCCTCGGCCACCTCACCCACCACAGAGACCCCCCCCTCCAAGTAAGATTTTGCTCGACTTTGGCTTGCCACAATGCCTGCTGGGGATAATCGCACATCTCCTGCTACTGAAAAAATAGCACTAAACAACCTCCCAGCCACCGAGTCCCCCCATGCTTTTCCCTGCATTGGGCATCTTTGTCTTAAATCCAGGACATACTGATAGTACGGGCAGTTGTCTTTCTCGTGGCAAATGAGCTGTCCGTCCTGTACGCTGCTTCTGCTTTCAGCTGCCTTCAAATGGAAACCTTCAGAATGGAAACTTGGCACCGCAGCCCAATGAGGAGGGACTGTTCTAGCTTTTCAGAGTCAGGCTGCTGCTTCCTTGGCCTGGCCCTCTCTGCTGCTTAGGAGTCTAGCAAGCCCAGGTGCCTAACATGTATGCCTCTAACCCAGGTCATGATCTCAGACCCCTGTCACTGAGCTCCTCCCACTGAGCATGGGCCCTTCCCTGGCTCCAGTCACACAGGAAGTGGTTTTCTTCTTGCTCCTTAAACAATGCTTTTTCCCATCAAATTTGTCTTCATAACTTCAAAATACAGCTGTGGCCTGCTTTCTTTTGATCAGTTTTCATTTTACCACTGCAGTTTATTTTTACCGCCCCCCCCCCCCCAAAATATGACAATCAGATGTAGATTTTTTCCACAACCATTCTCTTCAGGTTTGGGGTCACGATAGTGATCCATGGCAAGCAAGGAGCACACAGCATTTGAAATGTAGTTTTGCTTTTTTGGGTTTATACTTAAACATAACAGATGCAGTGGTAAATACCTGTAAACCCAGCTAGTTTGAGGCTGATCTGGGCAACTTAGTGAGACCCCGTCTAAAAAAAAATTTAAACTGCTGGGGGCTGTAGTTCAGTAGTAATGAAGCACTGGGTTCAATTTCCAGAATTGCAAAAAATGAAGATAAATTTAACAATCATGTAATTGTGAAAAGTTTTATAGAGAACTATGAAGAATCAAATTTAAAAATTCACTTGATTACCTACAGATAAGATACTAACCAAAATACTTTCAGCCTTTCTCTGTTACATAGATCTTGTAGCTACACATGACTTTAAAAACATTTTGTAAGCAAAGTTGGTTTCTATTTCACTTGATTGTCTTTCATTTAATGAAACACATTTTCTGTGTCACTGAATATTTTAAAAGAGGACTTGTTAATGGCTATAAACATAATGTTTACATAGTTTATTTCTCTGATTTGGGAATTTTTTTTGTTTTCCTCAAGACATTTAAAAAATTTGGACCTGGTAATGATAGTGTGTTTTGAACCACTTAAAAATCAATTAGTTTTTATATCCAATTAGAACCACCCCTAGAATATTAGATTCAAATTTGTCCAAATCCTGCTTCTCCAGAGAATCTGCATTAATAGACCAAGCTGTTAAAGAATTAGAAGAGAAACTTCTTACGCACGCTGGGCATGCGCTCTGTGCCCCGCCAGCACCCACACCTAGCCAAAGCTGCATCTGCCTGCACAACTGCCTCCCTCAGCTTTCTTGTAGCTCCTTGGCAACTTGTGACTTCACTGAGGCTGAGATCTGCCCTTGTTGGTTTTTCCAGCTGGTTTAATGGTGAAAAAGTCAGCTTCAGATGCATCCATCTCCTCCGGCACCCATGGGCAGTATTCAATCTTGCCGACAGCAAAACTTTTGCCTGGAGCACCTCGGCAACCCGTGAGTTTCTCTGTTCAGCTCCAAGAAACAATTGCATTTCAGACATGTCCAGCCTGCCCCAGAGATCTGCAGGATCTCTCTTTGCCCCTCTCCTTGCCTACCACCTCATTCCCATCTCCCCTGACTCTTGTAGATTGTAAGTGGTTGTACAAGGTATTCTACCAGAAAGTCACCTTGGATTAATCCCCAAGGGTCCCCAAGAATCCCCAAAGTGCAATCACAGGTTTTCCAAGTTGTGCTTCTCTCCTGTGATTCTTGACCTTGTCCTTGGATGACAGGCTGTTGGTTAGCATAAGGGAAGATAGCAGAAATTGAGATCAGTCATAAGAAAATAAATGATGGTCATTCTGGTGCCAGAATAGTTGAGAGAAGCTGCTAAAGAGACCTAATAACCACATAGAGGGTCATAGCAAGACTAACCCTCGTGGGGGTCCAGAGGGCCCAGTGACCTGCCAAGTGTTGCGAAGGTCAGCAGGAAGAGTTGAGGCAGGTGAAGCAGGTGCTGAGGTGCCTGGGTCACCACACAGTCTGGTGAGCCAGGCCAGGCAGGCTCACACCATCACAGGCCTAACGGAGTGACTAGATAGCAGTGGTGTCCAATGGTGATGAGTAAGGAAACTCAGGTTATCTGGAAGGTATTTTAATACTCAGATAAGCCATGGAAGGTGTGGCATAGTTCTGCTCTCTGGATTTTATCTGGTTATTGAAATAAAGAGATTGTTTTACCCCATTGCAAATCTTTCATTCTCTGGTTTGGGAGAACAGAGTCATCGGCTCTGACCACTCCTGGATTCTTCTTCTTGGAATGAAAGTGCTCCTAGGGGAAGAGGGATTGAGAGGTTCAGTTTAGATTTGGTGTTTTTAATCCACATCTGATGGGGCTTTGTAGGGTTCACATATATAGCACAGACCCCTACCACCTGGCAGACCACCAGTACGTGCTGAACACACCACCACCCAGGCTGCTTTCCCACCTTGTTGACATGCTTCTCTTCTTCATTCTGTCCTCAAGCCCAAAGCTAGGACTGGAATAAGTAAACCTTACAATGTCAAGCAGATCAAAACCACCAATGCGCAGGAGGCAGAAGCAGCAATCCGATGTCTCCTGGAAGCCAGAGGAGGTAGGTGGCCTACACTGGGGAAGCTCCCTGTGGAGGGGGCTCAGTCTCCTTTCTGTTCATTTTTCCACTGAAAGTGGCCTAGGAAAAAGATCTTTTTTTCCTTTTGAAACAATATAAAATGAAAGTAGCCTTTAGTAACATTTTACTTATTTCATTTGTTCTCTATTTAAAATTCAGTAAGTATAGAAAATAAACCCAGGATTATTAAACACTATTTAAGAGAAAAATAAAATTAAAATTTAAAAAGGTTAACTGCAGGTGCTGACTCAGTCTGGCCAGCTCTGTGAAAGAGACAGCTGTGTGTCCTCATTTCAGACTCAAAATATACCTCTTAAATCTCGAGCAAGTGTAAGTCAATTCTGCACTGTCATGGGAGGCCCTCCTCCACCACAGTGCCTGTTGATTTTTTCTTATTTCACTTACTCCAAGTTATCATAGTTTACTTAGGAATCTCCCATATTTAATCACTGGTAATTCACATTTGTTTTGGTTTGTTACAGAATCTCTTGTAGAGGGGAGATTGTGCCCATTGAAAAGGCATATGCAATCACAGTCACCTAATTTGTTTTGAGCCAGTATTTTAACCTACTTGGGATTCTTACATAAATTTAGGGAGGTTGAGTTAGAAGGCTATTGCAGAATTACATACCACAGATGGTTTATTTTTATTAAAAATTAAAACTGTGACTGTAACAACCCACACATGCCTATTAACTGATAAAATGACCAAATATGGTATAGCCATACAATGGAATATCATTCTGTCATTTAAAAATAAGAACTGATACATGGTACACTGTGGGTAAACCTTAAAAACATTAGGCCAAGTGAAAGAAGTCAGACACAAAAGGCCATATGTTATTTCCATTTATAGGAAATGTCCAGAACAGGCAAATCCATAAAAGTTATTAGTAATGAACTGGGTGTGGTGGCACACACCTGTAGTCCTAGTGACTCAGGAGGTGGAGGCAGGAGGATTGCAAGTTTGAGGCCAGCCTCAGCAATTTAGCAACAAACTCGGCAACCTATCTCAAAATAAAAAAGTAAAAAGGACTGAGGATGTAGTTGAGTAAAGTGCCCAAGTTCAACCCCCAATACCAATAAAGTTTGGTGTCCAGGCTAGAAAGAAGAGGGAATGGGGAGTGACTGAAATGGGTATGGGGTTTCTTTTTGGTTAATGAAAATATTCTGAAATTAAATAGTGGCAGTTACTGTATAAGTTTGTGAGTATGTTAAGAACCACTGAATGTTAATGTAAAATGAGTGAATTTTATGGTATATAAATTACATTTCAGTAAAGCTTCTGTTTTTAAAAAACTCAGTTGTAGATGCTAGTAGTTTGAGATTTTAAATCTACCCACATTCTCAACTTAACATTTTCTTGCTCATAAGCCTATTGAGATTTGATACATTTTAAGTCATCTCCCCTGAAAAATGTCAGTATGCATGACACTTTGCACATGGTGTCAGGGTCTCGCTGATCTCCCATCAAGACCATCCCTGGGTACCAGGTCCCACCTCTATTGAGAAGGTGAATACAGAAAATACAAAGCTGGACACAGCTGGTGTATTCTGACAATCTCTGAGGATTTTTTTTTTTAAGAAAAGAAGAAGTACACTAAATTAGTAAATTATCATTAAGATACAGACTTCCAAAGATTAAATCACACAGTAGGTTGCCTCGTCCTCATGCTTGAGCCTGTGATTTTTGTCTTAGGCGTCCCAGAAGAAGCCTTCAATGCCATGGCCCTGAGAGACCAAGGATCCTCCAAACTAGAGCCCAGCCCTGGGGAGGCCAGACCTGAGCCCTCCCAGGTGCCCCCACTCCTGCCCCGGCGGCCTGCACCCAGGGTTCCTGCCATCAAGAAGCCAACCTTGAGGAGGACGGGAAAGGTAGGGATCCGGAGCACTCTGAAGTTGCTCGAATATCTTCTTAGATAAAGGTATGTCTCTTAGACAAAAACCAAGTTCAATTTGGCTTTTCCACCCACATTCTTGAGTCCTAAACCCAGCTGCTGCTTTCTGGAAAGCCGTTTGACAACCGCTTTCTCCCTCATCCCTCTGCTGCATCTTGGCCCCAGCAGAGCAAGAACAAGCAAGGCACTGACTCCTTCAGAGACTCTCACTGTGACGAGAGAGACTTGGAGAGATTCTGCTTCCTTGGTGTTGGGCACCACAGGAACCACTGTGGGGTGTTTTCCCAAGTGGCCCGGCACTGCCATCTGTGTGGTGTGTGCACGTAGTTTTACATGCACAGATTTTACGAGCATTGGAGAAACAAATGAGTGATGTCTCGGTTAGCAGTTCTGCCAGGGCTCACGTGGCCGCAGTCTGTTGAGATCCGACAGCTTTTCTTGCCACTTTTCTTGCAGATTGTTTTTTGCTCTCGCTCTCAAGCTTCTCAGCCTTGCTTACTGCTTCAAAGACATGAGTTTGTAAGGACAGTGGCTGCCCAGAGACTGGCACCTATAGACACATCCGGATCTTCCGTTTGATCTCAGTTCTAGGAACAGGACCCTCGGTAATCCCTGCCTGGGCCTCCCAGAGTGACTGCTGCTCCTCTATCTGTGGAGAGTGTGAGAGGTGGCCCTGGTGCCAACTCTTCGCTGAGCTTGCTTTGTATTTTCTGGGTTGCGCTTCTCCATGTTGGCTCGTTGCCACATGTCCATTTTCCATGCCTTCTTGCAAAATGGACCCTTTCCTTCCTCTTCCTTCCTGCATTTGCTTTGTCTTTTAAAAGCCAGGAGCAGAATAGATTCATTTTTCCCAACCAGCTGCACAGGAGCTATGGTGTCAGGCTGGTGGAGAAAGGATCATGCTTTTGGTTTGTTTTCTAAAGAACCAGAGGAGACACTGGGATACCCATGCTTGCCCACTAGGAATTGCTTCCCTAGCAAAGCTGCATTTCAAACTGTGGGTTGATTTCTTTGTGATAGTTTTGAAGCAGAACTAAGGAAGTGAAGTTCCTATGTAATGTTCTGCATTCTTCATATTTAAATAAAAATGATTCAAGGAGAAAGGCTATCCATTGGTCCTTCATATAGCTTCATGCTGTGACATGTCATATCTTCCGAGTTGGCACAGACTGCATGAAGTATCTGCAAAGCTGCGGCCTCCAGGAATGTTTTCAAAGAGGTTAGCTTTACATAATGAAAGAGCAGAATTCCCTTTCCTAAGGTAACAGACAATTTTGTCTCAAATTGCTCACTGTGGCCCTGGTTTCAAAATTCCCACTCCTCTTTCATTGGACATGCTGGTCTGTCCTGATCAATGTGTGCTTCCCTAGTGACACTGCTGGCATCTCAGACTTCCTCCAATCCTGAATTGGCTGGAATGTCAGCTCAGTCTCCTCCCTGTTCCCTGCTGCCCACTGAGTGTTCTGAGTCTCAACTTACTAAAGGCTGGCTTCTTAGTTACACTCTTTTTACCTTTCCTCAGCCCATGTCACCAGAAGAACAGTTTGAGCAACAGCCTGTCCATTTTATAGTCGGAGACCCAGAGACAAGCCTTGAAGCCCCTCTTCCGGCTACAGCCCCTCGAGTCCCTCCTGTTCCCAAGCCAAGAACATTTCAGCCCAGTAAAGGTGACGAGAGGAGGCCCAGCAGTGGAAAGCCAGTGCCAGATGAAGCCCCTCTTATGGCAGGAGCCACCATGCCACCTGCTCCAGAGGCTCCATCTCTGGTGCCCAGGGTGCCCCCAAGGAGGAAGAAGTCTGCACCAGCAGCCTTCCACCTGCAAGTTCTGCAGAGCAACAGCCAGCTCCTCCAAGACCTCACCTGCAGCAGCAGCAATGGCAGCAGTAGCAGCAGCAGCAGCTGTCTATCCGGACACCAGCCCGACACTGATAATCTCTTTCCACAAGTGGGTTTTCTTGGCACTACATCTGCCACAAGCCTAGAAACTGATAGCTCCAGAGTAATGAAGCCAGAAGCAGCCTCCCTTCTTGGTGATTATCCGGATCCCTTCTGGAACCTTCTCCACTACCCTAAGCTGTTGAATAATGCCTGGCTTTCCAAGAGCTCTGATCCTTTGAATGCAGGGGCCAGGAGCCCTGAGAAGGCACCCAGAGACCCAGCACAGGTCAGCGCTTCAGAAGCTGCTGAGGGCAAGATGCCATTAGACCATGGGGGAGAAACCTTTGGTCACTGGGTGACCATCAGTGACAAAGACAAGAGGACGACACTGCAGGTGTTTGACCCACTGGCAAAAACATGACAGACAACTCTGAAGGCACTCCTTCGCAGAATGGAGCCCTTCTTCCCCATAGGCAAGGCTTGAGCAGGGCAAAGCAGACATCTATTTAAAGGCACACTGAAAAGAACATTAGTGCATCTGTCACTCTTGTGTAGTTTACGACAACTCTTTTTTCAATAAGATTGTTCAGCTATGAATATGGTTTATTCAAGATTTGTGCATTTTAAATTTGCTCACAGGGGAACAGGATGACTCCTGTTAGGTTCAGTGTGTGAATTTTAAGGAAGGAAATCTAGCTGTAAGGCCCAAGAAATTCTCTCCCGTTGAATTTTAAATGGTTGTTCAAATTTTATGTGTACGTAGTAGAGTTTTTGTTTCATGTTGTTTGTATTTTACAGATTTGGAATAACTCTTAGGTGACCCACCTGAAAGTTGATGCATAAAGGATGATACTAAAAGTAGTTGGGAACAGTAAAAGTTGTTCCTGGCCCACTTTAAACCAGGTTTTAAAAATCAGAGATGGACACGACACTTGGTCAACCAAATGTCTAGACTTGTATGTTCCTGTGAGCCCTTGTTTATTTAGATAGTCCTTCCTATCTGCAGGTTCTTTAGCCACAGACTTGACCAACCACTCATCAAAACTATTGTTTAAAAACTGCACATGTACTGAACACACCAGACATTTTTCTTGTCATTATTCTCTAAACATTACACTCTAACAACTATTTGCACAGCATTTATGCTTTATTAGGTATTATAAGTAATCTTGAGATAATTTATGGGAAGACACGCATGGGCTTATGTGCAAATATTATGCCACTTTATATAGGAGACTTATGCATCTATGGATTTTGGTGTCTAAGAGGGTCCTTGAAGTGATGCCCAAGAATTCTAAGAGGTGCCCCTGATTATATGTAAATCTCATGGGATTTACACTATCTTGGTTCTAAAGCATACACCATTAGCTTACCCTCAGTTTAAACTAGCCGAAGACTCCTGGACCATGTCTTAGACACTGCATGCCCTTTAAACTGCTGTGGTCTTGAGCTGTGGTGTGCTGTTCACAGCAGGTGGTATCCACCCTCTGGTCCTTATTAACTGAAACCTCATGGACTCTTTCTTCCCCTTGTATTCCAAATCCCATGAAGGCACCAAATGTGAAAACTCATCCTGGCACATATAATATTTTCGTTGTTATTTGTTTCAACTTATCTACCTGGTTGTGGCTTTAGGAAGGAAAGAATTCTGTGTCCCTGTATATAACAATTCCCAGGGCATTATATCTGGGTTTGCTTATCTGTTTATTAGGTTTATTTTTATTTTTTTCTGTTTTTCCTATACATTTCCAACACAACTTCTCAAATATTCAAGAATTGAGATCACCGTACTGTTTCATATTTTAAGATCAATGTTATAAGGTCTAGAATTCATTTGGAGCAGATATACTATTGCTTAGAATAAGTTCACCAGTAAAATATCACTGAGTCACCTGCCATATTTAGGTCTTTCACATGACCAATCACAGCAGTGATACTGTTGTCCCTTATGCAGCACAGGGGGCATCCTGTACCAAATGCTATTGGCTGGGATGATCATGGTCATCTTACCTAGGATATACTACTCTTCATTACCAATAAGACCTCTGAGATTTTTGGATTTGTTTTTGTTGTCACTGTCAACAGACAGTAAGTCATATCTGGTTCTCAAACAAAATTTTGTGTATATCACTCCTTCTGAAAATTAACAAAAATCAGTGCCCCACAGAGATGAACAGGTACACAGTTGAGCGGTCACAGAAGATGTTGATTAGGTGATCAGAGTGCCATTGATGGCACTTACATACTTGAAAGGATTATGTTGTCCACTTCTTGTTTGTTACAGAGGTAAAAATCATATAGAGTTAAGGGGAGAAAGCAAGATGGGTTGCTTGGAGAAGTTAAATGATTGGCCAAGATGCACATCGCTACTAACAGGTAAAATCTGGAACAGAATTGAAGATTTCTTCATTCAAATACTGTTTTCCCTGTACCCTCTTTTCCCACCAAAACCAAAACAACAATAAAAGACCACAGGCATATTTGAAAGCAGATATATTTTACAACCAGTCAGAAAAGCAGAGGGAATCAGCCCCACAAAAGCTGCTTGCAAGAGGTGGGCAGTGGGCCTAATCTGTAGGTCTTTCCTTGTTCTAGATACTAGCAAATAGCAAATGAATGGTACAGAACAAAAAGGTAAAGTTCCATTAAGACAAGTGCTCATCAGACAGGTCACTCTTGAGATCTGACGGTTACTGTTAACACAGAAAATTTTGTTGATCTAGGAATGCAAGAAAATTTACAAGTAAAGAATTGACCAGGGGGCTGGGGTTGTGGCTCGGCAGTAGAGCGCTCACCTGACACGTGCAGGACCCTGGGTTCGATCCTCAGCACCACATATAAATAAATAAGTGAAATAAAGGCATTGTATCCAACTACAACTAAAAAATAAATCTTAAAAAAAAAAGAATTGACCAAGTATTAGTGGATCATGGGTGTTCACATTTAGTGAACAATATATACTGGATTTTGAGTTGGCAATATGTATAGTCCTCACACCAGAGTTCTTTTAAGAATGGAAGAAAATTGGAATAGCTTCATCTATTTTCTTAAATCAATGTTTATTAGCTGGAAGGTTTGTCAAGTTAGCAGCAGAGTCTGTTAAATAACCTTGATCATGACCAGCTGCCTCGGAAGGGATTTCATTTTTTTTTTGGTCTGCTGTGATGCTACCATAAGGACTTCTTCTTATGACCTATGGTTCCATTACCGCTGTTCTGTAACATAGTGGAAGTAGAGTGCTTAGTAGCATACTCACCAGTCAGCATTGGCTCTCTGACCACAAGTCTAGTCCCTTTTAAAACAATCTCAGACTTCTTGCCCATTTTTAGAATTTGTTCTGGTAAGTGACTGAAATCAGGACATCTGTCCAAGCAATGCCTGAAAATGTTGAAAGTTGTTAAAAGTTCAAGATACTTAATAAAACTGACATATGTATAAGTAGAAACAAAGTATGTATTAAAAACTTCATGAGTGATGAAGGAACACTGCAAAGGTGATTGATTGTGGGGGAATGAGTGATTAATAAAAACCCCATAATATTTTTTGAAGTGGTAAATTTGTACTGATGTTGTACAGAATATCTATTAAATATTTTTGTCTTTTTAATTGGGCTTATTTCTTTTCAGATATGAAGAAAACCTTGGAATATCTTATTTGGCTAGCCTTCTGTTCTGGATCAAATGTTTGTTATTCCTATATGTGAGTTTTTTGTTGTGGTTCATTTTCGTAACCATCAAATTAACCTGATTATTTTTGCTTTTTCAATGTAAGTTTTTTTGACTTGAAAGGTGCTAGCAGGGACCGCTTCCGTCCATACTCTGTAACTATGCCACACTGTCTATAAGACCTGGGAGATGATGGGATGCAATTTCTCTTGGGCCTTACAGCAAATTTCAGAGCTCAAGCTGGTAGGAGCACATTACAGTGTAGAGGCAGGAGGGAGGAAGTGCTATTCAAGTTCTGTTCTGGTGTGTTCTATGCCAAACACCACACAAAATATGTCACAATGTTCTTTGGTGGTTTTTGAGGAATGAGAATATACTGATAATTCAAAACATAAATATGGCTGGTCCTTCATGACCTGTGAGGAGTACCACGTTGGATTCACTTACTCTGGGTGCATGGCACTGTGACTCAGGAAGAACCTTCCTTTCCAAGGCACTTGTGGAGATGGGCCTTATACTCATTTATACAAGGTAAACTGTTTGCCTGTATATGAGATGACAAGAGTTCAAGTAAGTGATTGTCAACAAAGGATCAGGGAACACTTGAAAAAAGAGGGTTAAGAATTTTTTGTTTGTTTACTTTCTTGGAGGACAGCAAAGTTGAGCAGGACATAGAGTTCCCATACACCGCTTACCTCCATACATTCAGCCTCCCTGTACTGATGTCCTGCACCAGAATGGTACATTTGTCACAACCAATTGACCTGCATTGACATATCATCACCCAAGGCCATAGTTTACCTGGGCTTTACTCCATGGGTCTGGACAATTGTATAATGACAGGTATTGCAAGGTCCTGTGCCAGCGGCTTCACTGCTCTGAAAACTCTCTGCTCTGCCTGTTCCTCCCTCCCCACCCTGCAGCCCCTGGCACCCACTGATCTTTTCACCATCTCCATAGTTTTATTTAGAGCTGGAATCATGCACTACATTGCTGCCTCGTACTGGCTTCCTTCAATTACCAACACGCATGTAGGCTTCCTCCATGGCTTTTCATTCATAGTTTTTTAGTGCTAAGTATTCTACTGGCTGGATGTACCACAGTTGATTTATCCATTCCCCTTCTGAAGGATATTTTGGTTGCTTTCAGGTTTTGTCAGTTTACCAAAGAGGGCAATTGCTGGATCATACGTAACAGTATGTTTTGTAGCAAACTGCCATGCCATCTTCCGAGGTGTCTAGTCTGGTTTGCGTTCTCATCAACAATGAACGAGAGTTCCTTTGGCTCCACATCCTCATCAACATTTGTTGTATTTTTGGATTTGGGTCATTCTAGTAAGTACGCAGTGGCATCTTCTTGTTTGCCACCTGTATATTTTTGGTGAGATATCTACCCAATCATTAGCCCCTTTTAAATTGGATTGTTCAATTTCTTGCTATTGAGTTTTAAGAATTATTTATATATTTTGGATATAGATGTTTTTAGATGTGGCTTTTGCAAATATTTTCTTAGTCTGTGTTGCCTTCTCATTCTCTTGGCATTATCTTTTGTAAAGCAGAAGAATTAAGAATTTGAAAAGTAACAAAGTGGATTTATGTACCTGGAAGGGATATTAGCTGATGGGAGAAACAATTTCAAAGGATTAAATGAGTTTAGGGTTTTAATCTATAGGTGATGAAATAGTGGGTAGTGGTGATATCTGTGTGTGTGTAGGATGGTCAAGGTGACAGGCTTTGCCTAATAGCAGCTTGTCAAAGCATCTGGAATGTAGTTTATTAATAGTGTGAGTTAGGGGCCCCACACCTTCTTACTGAGGGATTGTTAGACAAGTACACTTAATAACAAACCATTGCTCATGCTTCCTTAATTGTTTCTCAAGAGGGTTAATTTTGTTGACATTTTCAAATAACAACTTCAGGATTTATATACATTATTTGAATTTCTTTTCAATGTTTAAAACATTTTCAT